TTTCAAAGTTATAAAAGGCAAGGGCCTACATCCAAGATTACTCTATCCAGCAAAGCTATCATTTAGAATGGAAGGGCAGATAAAGTGCTTCCCAGATAAAGTCAAGTTAAAGTGAGTTCATCATCACCAAGCCTTTATTATATGAAATGTTAAAGGGACTTATCGAAGAAAAAGAAGATAAAAAATATGAACAGTAAAATGACAACAAACACAACCACAACAACTGAACCTAAACAAACAAACAAAAAAACCCCCACACTAAACAAACAACTAGAACAGGAATAGATTCACAGAAATAGAGATCACATGGAGGGTTATTATCAGCAGGGAGGAGTAGGGAGAATGGGGGGAAAAGGTACAGGGAATAAGAAGCATAATTAGTAGGTACAAAATAGACAGGGGAAGTTTAAGAATAGTACAGGAAATGGAGAAGCAAAGAACTTACACACACGACCCATGGACATGAACTGGGTGGTGGGGGGGTGCAGGTAGAACGAGGGTGCAGGGTGGAGGGGAATAAAGAGGAGGGAAAAATGGGATAACTGTAATAGCATAATCAATTAAATACATTTTTTAAAAAGACCTGGAACTATAGTATTTTATTTAAAAAAAAATTATGAAACCTAACATTTTGACATTTTAACCATTTTAAAGTGTACAAGTCCGTGATTTTAAGTATATTCACAGTTGTTCTGCCACCACCAGTCTCAAGTTCCAGAACATTTCCATCACCCCAGAAAAGAACTCCATTCCCAGTACCAGTTATTCTCTATGCCTCCTGTCCCCCCAGTCCCTGGTCACTATTAATCTACTTTCTGTTTGTATTGGTTTGCCCATTCTGGACATGTCATATAAATCATGTGACTTACGGCCTTTTGTGCCTGACTTACTTCACTTAGGATAATGTTTTCAAGGCTCATGTTGTAGGATGCACGAGTACTCACTTCTTTTTATGGTCAAGTGGTATCCCGTTGTAGGGATGGACCACATTCTGTGTCCTCACTGGTCAGTTGATGGACACTTGGCTTGTTTCCCCTTTTGGGCTGTTGTGGATAACAGTGTTACGAACATTTTTGTGCAAGTTTTTATGTAAACATGTTTTCAGTTCTGGGTGTTGGGGGACTGTACAGTAATGCTGTGTTAAATTTTTTGAAATATCACCGAAAGGTCTTTCTCAGCAGCTGAGTCATTTTACATTCCCACCAGCAATGCATGAGGAGTCCAACTTCTTCACCAAAGTGGCATGTTTTTGAGTCAAATACTGGGTAGCTTTTCAGTGGTTCAGTCAGCATCTTACAACGAATGCTGAATTATACATATCAGCAGGTTTATAGTAAGTTCCGTCCAGTGGTCTCCTGACAGAAGAACAGTTTCCTTCTTGGAATGAAATGGCTGTTTCCAGACCACCGTGAAGCAAAAAGAGAAGGCCAGGAGGGAGTCTTTAGCCCCTGATGCATTTTATGAAGCAGGAGTCTGCTGTGGTGGGCATTCTGCAGGACAGGCGATTGCAGCCCCAGCCGGTGCGGGATCTGACCATCACCCCATGCCAGCGGCTTTCCACAGCCTCCAAATAGTGCTAACTGTAAGTCTTCGGGGGTTCCAAAAGCTATTTTAGAGATAAATTTGCCTCCTAAGATCGTTAAAACCTGTACATCTCTAAAGACTAAGCAAGAATTAAAGGAAACGTATTACATATTTTAATATCTCCTGACTCTACTGACATGTTGGAAAAGGAATTTCCCATTTTCAGTTTTCAACTGAAGCATCAATTCTCTTCCTCTTTTATTACTTGCAACATTCTCTTCCCTTGTAATTTATACAAATTCTTACTTGCAATCCAAATGGAATCTTTTAATGAGGGTATGGAGAGGGACCACATGGCAATGATAATGACTTACCTGTCAAACATGAGTACCACATACTCTTTAAAAGTAACTATTTTAGTCTGAAAAACCCGTAACAGTGCAAGGACATCTTTGTGCTGCTTCTGCTTTATTAGCCTTTATGATCATCTTTAAATGTTCCTAAACATGAGACATCCCAAGAGTGTTGTTTTTTTTAATGGTTGAAATGTATCTCCTGAAAATGGGATTTTTTAATTGTAGCCTGCCACTTTCCCTACCACAGTAATGGGAATTTACTGAATAGGAAGCAATTTCGGCACTTAAATGTGCTGATGTGATGTTTCTTAATCACTTTAATGAGTTATGTAGAACTAGAAATGGAATAGAATTTTCAATGGAAATATAATTAAATAAAAAAGTCATTTCTTGTACTTCTAATTTCTACCTGATCATTTCTTTATTCACCTCCATAGAAAGTGTGCCTTACAGGCTTACAGTGATATTATTATATAGGCTAATTTGCATAATTCAGTTAGGTCATGAGAACTGAAAACAATAGAAATACACAACGATACATTTCACTACAGACCAAGTGCAGCAAGGCACGGTAAAGCTTCCAAGCTGTGATTTTCCTTTTTAAAGTCTGATATATTTACCAGTTTTACATGACTTTCCTTGAATTGGCAATATCTTGCCTAAATTCCAACCCATCTTTTAATTATGTTTTTTCAGTCTGGCCTGCTTAGGATAATTCCCAGGGGAAGCAGTAACATGAGTCAGTAAAAACTAAAAGATGTTTGGAAATCCTCTCTATTCTCGTGTTTGAATGATTTTGCTAAGAAATAGTAAAACAGAAAGTTACACCACTCTTACACTGTGGGGCTGAAACATCACCCAACTCAACTCAACACTTAAACTCACTCAACCCAAAGCTGCTCTTTCCTTGTGCTTTAAAATATAAAGACCTTTCACCAGGATGGACCTGAGGAGCAGGTATGAAAGATGGAGGGGTGGCCTGTGTTCTGTGTTCTCTCATTTAAATGTGTTAATTTGGAGTCAAGACATAGAGTTAACTGTTGTTTTTGAATACCAGTGTCCACAGAACTGGGCCAGGCAGTAGGCAGTGATCACAAGGCCCCATGATACTGGGGTCTGTCATCAGCAAGGGAATGGGTGGGATGATGCACCCAACCATCTTGTCTGGAGAATGATCTGGGGGCCCCAGAAGTCATCACTGTGTCAGGTCTAAAGTCATGAGACTCCAGTGAAGATTCTCAAACCTGTGTTTTCCCGGCTGGGTTATCCTAAGTGAGTCACGTAATCTTGATCCTCCGTTTACCAAAATGTAAGATGCCAGTGATACTTTCTGTTCTACCTTCACCGTAACTTTTAGAAAATAAATGAACACGTGTAGATATTTTATAAATAAAAAATAAATTTAATCTGTCCTGATTATTTAAATGTAGTTACTATTCAAATAGTTTAATTTGTAAATTTAATATACTGCTTTTGAGAACCTGGCAGGCAGTGTGGAAAACGCAGTACTTTTATGCGTGGAGCCTTCGGTTTCCGCATTCAGTGCTAGAAGCCGTCAGAAGGGCTTGCTGTCTGTCCCTTCAGTACCGTCCAAGAGGATTTACTTAAACTCACTTTGCGGGAAATATTTTTAGGTTTGTGGTTAGGCACCATATTTTTTGGACTATAAGACACACCCTTTCCCCCAAATTTGGGAGGATGTAGCTTACCTGGCTAGTAAATGTAGTTTACATTTACATTGGTGAAATATTATGTTGTTTATGTTATTAAATATTTTACCACATTTTTTTGCTTCAACATTTTCCCCCGTATTTTCCTCCCCTAAAACCTAGGTGCGTCTTATGGTTCGGTGCGTCTTATAGTCTGAAAAAATTCAGGTAACGGGTTTGAAATACAGTCAGGCTCAACCCAAAGCTGCTCTTTCCTTGTGCTTTAAAATATAAAGACCTTTCACCAGGATGGACCTGAGGAGCAGGTATGAAAGATAGAGGGGTGGCCTGTGTTCTGCGTTCTCTCAGGCAGGTGTCTTCTGGGGACACCCCATTGCACAGTGTGTGGATTTGCATTGAATCACATTCTCCATCGAGCTATGGGGACCCACGTATGAGAGACAGTCATTTAACATCATGGTGATCTGTACTTTCTGTGATTCGCCCCTTCCATATAGGGCAGCCACCTTGGTGTACAGGCTGGTCAAGCAGAAAGACGAGATGAAGTCTTGGGCCTGGGTCTGGGCCCTGCCACAGCAAACTCCTCTGAGCTGCCATCTCTGTAAAATGTAGACTATAAGAACTACCCCAAATGGGATGCTGGTCAGGAAAGCATTTATAAACTGTACATTGAAATGCAAATTTGTTTTGTTTTTTAAAAACAAATAAACCTGAGGAAATCTCTCTCTGTAGTTAATATTCATTGCCAAGTATTTATTGGAATATTTTCCTGCACTGCACAATAGCATATTAAATGTGTTTTCCATGCCTTGCATTTTATGAGTTAATATTTTACTCGTTAATAACCAAGTATTTCCAATGCCACTGTCATTCTGAGTGCCCTACTTAGTCTCAAAGTTTTGGTGTCACCCCCAAGTTAAACTGAAAAGGAGGCAGTCTTTGCAGACCAAGAGTCAGCAAACCCTGTTCAGTGGGGGACCCTAAAATTGTCAGCTGATTGAAATGTAAACATGTTGGATTGAGGCAGTTACACGGCTGGGTCTGGGACAGAACTGCCCTCTACCTACAGTTCCAGTTTTAACACCTGCTGCCTTTTTGTTCTCCTCGCAGGTAATCTCTGGGGAGGGAAGAATTAGAATGATTAGGAAAGAGCAACTAAAGGTGGTTTCCATGTGACTCTCGAAGAACTAGCCAGCAAGTCATACAAACATTTGCATCCACTTAAATCCGGTTAAAGCAGGAAGTACAAAGCAATCTGCATTACCGAAGAGATGAAATGGTAAGAAGGAATCTGTGTTTGTAGTGATTTAGCAACTCTTGTACTGAAATCACCAAGAATTAGAGAGCTGAACACAAAGATTTTCAAATGTGTGCTGAATGGAAAAGAAAATTCATAAGGATTATTTCCCCCCAAACGTCTTTACATGAAAAAGGAACCACAACATTCAAGTTACGGAATGTAAATCTTTTATTAAACAGTTGTCTTTCCACAGTAGTAAAAGCTTTGGCATGTACAGTATAAAAAATAGTCACCAACCAGAACCCAAATTCTTCTTATCAACTGCATAGTGTCTTCAATGCAATTTTTTTTCCATATAAAAATACTGGGAAAAATTGATAAATAACAGGTAAGAGAAACATATTTCTAGGCAATTACTAGAATCTTTTGGAAAAAGTGAGCACTGTGGATATTTTCAATACCACAGTAACAAGGACATGCCGTTCCTATGATATTGCGGGCCAGACAGTTAAATGGAAGCAGAAGTGTTTGGGTAACTTTCCTACTTAAAGTTTGGTAATATCATTTCAGTACATTTTGCATCTGGGTTGTTGCATGTGCTTCCCTACTGATCCCAAATCACAAGTTAGAATCATTTAAAATACTGAGCGGTATTGAATACTTTGGAACAGAACAAGCAATGGACTGCCCCTTTCTGTGAGAAAAGTCTCAAAACACTCCCAGGGTGATGATGATGCTTGGAGAAGCTGTGAGTCGAGCTGAAGCTGGAGAAGTTACTCTCCAGAGCGAAGGGCTTAAGAAAGAAACAAACACTCTAAGGCGGGGCCTGCACCTGTCACTCCAGTCTGGATGGGCCTCGGCAGAGAGCCACGCTCGGTGCTCTGGGTTGGAAGTGTTACTCCCTAGAATCGTTTATGTCGGCCTGTATGTCTAAGGGCATGAAGCACTCGATTGGGCAGTTGACATTCTGTTAAAATAGAAGACAAAGGATTAGCAGCAGCAAATACTGCAGAGTGTACGGAAAAAAAATGGGTGTTTTTATGACAATTACTTCTAGATTAGGGGAATAGTTCTAGCTTTAAGAACCTACCATTAAGCCCTGGCTGGCATAGCTCAGTGGATTGAGCGCGGGCTGCGAACCAAAGTGTCACAGGTTCGATTCCCAGTCAGGGCACATGCCTGGGTTGTAGGCCACGGCCCCCAGCAACCGCACATTGATGTTTCTCTCTCTCTCTCTCTCTCCCCCTCCCTTCCCTCTCTAAAAATAAATAAACAACAACAACAACAACAAAAGCCCATTTCTTAAGAAAAAAAAAAGAACCCACCAATAAACTCAAACTGGGCAATAGGTGACGTTCAAGAGGTTAACACATTAGCACCTGAATTATGCTACAGGATACAGTACCCTTAAGTCAAGAGAGGTGTTCTGGTTTTTTTCCCCCTAAATAGGTTCAGTTCATCCAAAGAAAAGTATCTACTATGGGACAGATTGCACTTAGGGGAGAAACACTCGTGATGCAGATGCACTTACAGTGTTTGAGTTCTGATGGTACCTCTCAGAGTACGGGTTGTTGTAGGAGTGACCAGGAGTGCCTTCATGACCGGGCTCAGCCCCCGGTCTGCGGCAGTTGTCACAGCGCCAGCCCTAGAGCAGAGGCATGAGGTCAGATGGGATTTACGATAACTCAAGAATACCCCAGTTTAGTGCTTGTGTTCAAGAAGGATTTCAGCTCTTCATTGGCAAACTATAAGCAATTAATCACAAAGGACACTTGGATGATGATTTAGTGAATGTATAACTCATAGAAGACATGTTTGCTGATTATTCATATGTTAGAGCTTCTGGTTATGTTTCTGCTTTTCCTTTCTCCTGAAATGTTCTCTCTGCTCTTCCTATTCCAGCCCCACCCACCTGCAAAGGCTCATTCTGGCCCCAACTGCCTTAATGAGTCTCCACACTAGATAATAGGATTTCCAAGAATCCTAGAGCTTGTAGAAGGGACTTGAGGTCATATGGACAAATACCTTAAATGTATAGGTAAGGAAAATGACACCCACGGGGGTGAGTGGCTCAGAGGGAGCAGGAGAGTTGCACAGTGACCTGCTTGGTGACATTGGGGCTGCCACCCAGCTGGGTGACTCCTGGCCATGCTCTTCCTAGTCACCACATGGCCACTCCTTCCTAAATGTCTGTAGCCAGTGACACACAGCCTTTCTTCTGGCTAGTGATGGCATGAAAGTGGGGATGGGACCCAGCTGGGTCAGGGAGGCTCCATCTGAGGTGTTCGCCAGAAATGGGAGGACATGTGTTCTCATTGTCGCTCCTAAGCTGGTAGGAGATAAACCCGGAGCTGAGGGAGGTCACCTTTGTCACTGTCCCTCCTGGAGAATGAAGCCAATACAAAGAAGCGAAGCATATGAGACCCCAATACCATTCAGGAAGGGGTCCTGAGCTAGTGGATCCCGGGACTTTTCAGTTAAGTGAGCCTTCTTTTGCATAAAGTAACTTGAATTGGGCTTTTCTCTTACAACCAAAAGAACCCTAAGTCATACAGTCACTCTTTTATACTGTCAGTTAAATATTTCAGACGTATTTCTCCATTTAAAAGCATATTCCCTGTAATACGGAATACAATTACCAGTAAATGCCTACTTAGACAATCAATGAATCTTGCTTTCCTCTAGAAATGTAACAGCTCCCACTCCTGTCTTAAGGGTTTCATTTAGCTCTTCGCTTTCGAACAGAAGAGGTGTCACACGTGAAAGGTTTCATGTGCGTAAATAATGAGGCGACGCTGAAGTGAGACCATAACCTACTTCCCAAATTCACTGCCACCACATTTCCTTCTGTACCAACCACAAGACCAGAGATGAGTGAGTTCTGTGACCACAGCCCGTAAGTGTTAATGAGAGACAGAGAAAGAGAGAGACTCTACAGCTTCTTCCCATCAGAATGGGCAGCGCCTCCTTCCCCACCTAACTTCTACAGGCGGACTGAGGTTGTACTAGTTGACTGCCTGGTCCTCAGGTGGGGGCAGAAGCAGACCCCTGAAACCCTTCCCTGCTGTCGGATTAATCTCCCTAAAGGCCATTTCCCATCATGCTCCTTTTCTTCTCAGGCCCCTGCAATTGGCTAATGCCAAAGGCATCAACCAGTGAGTCTTACCCTGGAGTAAGCAGGGAGCATGTCCTCATGCATCGGAACTTGAGGGCTGTGGGGGAGGGCCTGTTCTTGCTGAAAACAAGGGACTATTACGTCCCTTCACTTTTAAAGAGCTACAAGAGTCATTTGATTTTGAAATTTCAAATATTAGAGGGAGGCACAGCCTTCTTTGTTTTATAGAAATAGAGCAGACTAGAAATGGTTGAGAAGTACTGGCTTAAATAATGGACTTCCAAGGCCCATCTGATTTCTCACAAGTCACCAGGCAGAGGGGTGGCTCGCCTGAACCTGCACCTGCCAGCCCCTTCCCATCCCGGGGGTATGATTACTCTGCTCTCTCTGCTTCCTCTCCTCCATCCCTCCCCTCCATCGACCAAATCGAACCATCCTATATCCCAGCCAGGTTACACTTCTCTTGCTTATGAAAATTTTCTTGCTGATTCCAGGCTACCTGGGTACCGTATTACTTGGCAGACCCATTCAGAACCTTATTTAATGAGCTTGACTTTCAGTGCATGCTAATTTCATGTCTCCAGCCACTGTACCACTGAGGGCCAGGACCTCTCTCATTCCACCCCATAGTCCTCTGCACAGCACTAGGCCTGCAGCAGGAATGTATTGTATTTTGGGGAGGGTACAAAGAAAGGGCACTGTCTTACATCTGGGCAGGCACAAACAATGCTATTGTTTCCGAACATTTAACACCAACGCTACACGGGCACCTGTCCTTTAGATTGGAGCTGGAGGCCCAGCACTACTACCCAACTTTTAACACTTTAGTTGCCAGAGAAGAGAGAGAACATGAGAATACTAGCTGGGATGGGTGGGAAGGGTTGGTTCTGAGGCTGTCACAAGAGGGGACAACTGGAAAGGGTATTTAGGAGCTCTGTCTGGGCAGCTCTGTGCCAAGAGGAAATAGGTGTTTCAACGTTTCACAAGGGGCACTGCCATACCTGTATGCACAGCATACACACAAGAAGCTTAACCCTGGATCATCAGCTTATCTTGATCACATCTAAATTGCAGGCAGCCTTACCCGCTGGCCTCCAAAGCATGTGCAGGAGCAAATAGCACCGAGATATTCCTTCTGCCACTGTTCTCCTACGTGGTACGTCTTCCCATCATCATAGCACGTGGTTTCATCTACGTGGAGACACACGTCAGAAGTGCATGTAAGACTGAGAACAACTAGACAGACTCGATCCCTGTGGAGGGCAGCTTCTGTTTCTTCCCTCAATCTGTATCATCATAACCAAAACACTACATGGGTATGGGAATCATTCATCAGAGAAAAGCTACTATATACATCGTAGGGCAGCATTTCCAAAAACTAGATCTAATAAACAGAGAAGATGGAGATCATATTTTCAAAGTTGAATCTGAAGACCCATAAAGCTTTCTGATATCATTTCAATGCAGTTAGTGATCAACATACTCAGGTCGGAAAAGCGCTCAAGTGCCCTGTCATCACATTAAATCATGGCTCGTTTCTGAAGCTTGTCTCCGCTTTCCCAAATCAAAAGATTCACAAACCCACTGTTCCCTCCTCAAGGAGACCTAACATCTCCACTCGTTTCTGTGAATGAGAGTTATAGCTCAGTAATGAGTGCGGGAGTGCTTGACAAGCCACTAAAAGTGATCTGTGGCCACGTACGGGGGTCGCATTTGAATTCTCCTTTTCCATTTCCAAGGCACGTGCAGCTCATCATCTGGCCATTTTCTCCCTTACGGTCCCACTTCTCTCCAATCTTGAAATTCACACCATTGTCGTGGCACCATTCTGCGGGGCGGGGGAAAGCGGAGGCGGTTATTGGGTGTGTTCTGAAGCACAGGACAGTGCACGCACTGGGGCATGTCACAGGAGTTTAACAGCCCGGTCTCTGGAAGGAACGGTAAGGAAAGTTAAAGGTCGTCATCCCAAAGACAAACCAGTTTTTTTGTTGGATTTTAAATTACCATTTAACATTTTCTAAAATGCTATTTTTAAGATTCAATGTATTCCCCCACAATCACGTCACAAGAATAGCCAGTGACCTTCATTTAAATTCTCACTATTAACGTAAAACTAAGTAGGGTTTGGGTATTTTAGGAATAGAAAGTCACTTTGGATTTGCAGAGATCCTGGATACAAAGTAGTTCAATTAACCAAAAAAAAAAAAAAAAAAAGGAAAACAAAACACAACATCAGCAGGTTTTTATATTCCACAACCCGATTCTTGTAAACGAAAGGAGAAAAAGAATAATCTGTGTATCAAAACAACAAAAACAAACAAAACGATAAATCAGTGGTTACTATCCTTAAAAATCAGGTTGGTTTTAAGGATAGCCAATAGTCATAGTTACATACCTTCACTCCTATGCATAAAACATGACTTTTTAATCTCCATGATTTATATAGAAAAAAACCCACACTTCAATAGTTTGTAAAACAATGCACTACTTCCATTTTATCAAAGTCACTCATTCCTTAAACTTTAAGTTAATAATTATGACATCTAAGCAAAGAATATATAATTTGAGCCAAAGAATCACATAAATCAACTTATAGCTCTACTCCCAAAATTGCACCTAATGACATATAAATAAATATACAAACTTAAAAATAAAAATGAACCAACTGTCAATAATACATACACTAAAAACAAAGCATAAATAAAAGTTTATAAATTCTACTACTAAATCTCAAAACATAATAATTCCTCAAATCATCCTGACTAAAAAATAATTAAAATTTTACAATCTTTTTATAATTGGAAGATCAAACCTGTTTTGATGGGAGATTTTTAATTATCTCCAGATTATCTGTACCCCCTCCTGCCTGCTGAGTCTGTGCACGATGATACAGGTGTGTTCAGTTTGTGTTGCAAAAGGCAGAGTGTTTGTGAGTATAAATGTTTACCCCTGAGTTCGTTCAACAGTAAAAGTTAAAAGAAACTTGCTCGTGTCTCCCTGTTGACCAGGCTCCAAAGAGTTTGACCTTGTTAATTTTGCTGAAGAGAAAATATGTTTAAAAATCCTATTATATTTTTACTTGTCGCATTGACAAACCATCCTTGAAACGAAGCACTATTCCACAAGTAAAATTTCCCATCATTTTTCTATGATGCAAAATGTTACTTTGAGTGAAGCAGTCTCCCCGCGTGTGCTCCATGTTTGGAAGAGCCCGCATCTGCCAAACATGAGTCTTTGGCACACCGTGCGAATGCGTGGGACTGGAAGAGATGGACAGATGAGTGGATGGACAAAGCAAGCTACTCACTAGATGAATCGCATCTGAAATGACCACTGCCAAAGCCTAAGCACTGGCACGAGAGTTTAAAGCCCGATTCGGACAGTCGCTCCCACTCCTCTCCAATGGCGTAATGCGAAACCGTGTAGGGGTCGAAGCACGAGTCATCCGTCGGCGGGTTGGGGCCTGGGCCGCATACATGAAGAAAAGGAGGGAAAAGCAATAAAAAGACATCGTACTGGTGGTTTGGGACGATAAGAAGAAAATGGATTACTCTGTGTAGTGACTTCATCTAAAACAAAAATCCCAGTAGCATTAAGAAGCATTCATCTGTTCTATCAGTGCAATGAGCTGTTCTTGTACGCAACGCTTAAATGTTGCCAGTGCACACTTGAAAAGGCATCATCAAAGGAACCCATCTTTCATGTTTGTTATCAGTTCTAGAAAAAAGGCATTTCTGGGAAACCTAGCCTATAGGACGAGGAACAGCCCTGGAAGCGATTTAAGCTAGTTGAGAACATCGGTGAGATGCAAAGACTGCAGATGCCTCCCCATGAGTCCCTGAGTGACCTTAAGCGATTACATTATCGTCATCTGTAGTAAAGAATAACACTGAAAATACCTCTACTTGCTTGGGATCTTGGGAAGATTACATGGGATCATGAATTCAAAGTACTGGTCCATTACCAACACTTAAAAAGTGCTCACCAAATAAAGCATAATTATTAGAGGGCATTTTTCGCTTTTACTGCAAAAGTTTTTAACATTTTGATGTGCCATTATAATGTGATCTTCACTTTTAGTTTGGCATGTTTTGCTTAAGAGTGCAAAACGTTGAGATTTTATACCTTATTAGCATAATTACAGGACTGCTTTACTTAACAAAATCAATTGTTCCAAACAAGAGGAAGCAATGGGGTAGGAATGACTTAGGAACTCGTGATGGTGGCTCTCTATGCTGACCAAGCTCTCAGTCCTTGTGTCTCAGGAAAGCTTGCTGTAAAATAATTCACACAAGGACTGTTTTAAGTTACTCTAAAAACTAAGTAAATTGACTTCTGTGTCTTTGAATCTCACTGCATATATTTATGCTTACAGGGCAAAAATCAAAAGCTCAAAAGCCATAGACATTGGAAGTGCCTAATATTTTAAAAGGCAGCACTCTGGCAGAGTGGGGGTGGGGGTGAGGTGGTGGATAGAGTTCTGGGGAAACTCAGAAGTCTGAGATGTTTCAGAGCCAGGAGAACCTGGCTAGAATGAAGAACATCACTGCTGGGAACATGGAGGCGGAAAGAAAAATGGAAGGAACTGAAACTGCTACGAGGGCTTTCAGTAAGGCTCCTGAAAACTGCCAGGAGTTAAAATTCCACCTGGCTAAAGTTATGGAGATGGAATTTTTACAAAATGGTGTGGAAAAGCACAAAGACCTTTGTGCTCTTGAAAATTCCTTGCCGGTGGCATTTTCCTAGTAAAACCACGGAAGGCAAAAGGTATGTGTCACCGTGGCCATACTACAACCATCGCAAAATGATGCCCACCTTGCCACCCTCCCTCCCAGATACTCAGCTGCTCACTTCACTGGCATTTATGCCTGTAAAACAGCACAGTCGATGCGGACGGAGGCTGAAATGAAGGAAACTGGCCCTAGAAATAAAGCCAGTCGCTTGGTAGAGAAAAAAATGTAGCACTCCTTGCTGATAGACAACCCTCTGTTTGGAAGACACGGGGTTCAGGGTTCAGATTATTTCCTAGCTTATGTTCCTCCGTGAGACTTCAGCTGTTGCAGGTTGACAAGCCAAGGGACATACTGGCTTGTCACAAAGTTCAGGAGAACTTTTCATAGGACTTCCCAGGTGCTCTGAAGACTCAATGACCATTCAACCTTCATAGAGGCTTTGAATCTATGTCATAAAAAGAAAATTGAAATAACATTGGACTAAGGGAGCCCTGGGGACGGAAATGGGCTGTGTTGGTAGCACTTCACATTAGGGAAGAACACCAGCTGTCCCTAAGGTCTGCAGATGGGGAAGTTCCTCTGCAGGTCATCAGTGTCGGGACTTACTAGCCACGCAAGAGGACAGAAACATGGGGAGATGGAGATGGTCTGGGCAAAGAGGCCAGGCAGCCCGTGCCCAGGTCTATCATCCTATCACTGTGTGGGACTCTGAAGTGTGGGTGCATTTTACAAAGACACTAGGATACTACAAGGGGAAAATAATTCAGTGTAAAGTTGCTCATCCGCTTCACGATGCAACATAATTTCCCAAAGTTAAAGGACGACAGCAACAATGGGACAGTCTGTAGAAAAAGTAGAAAGAGCACCCCCGAACCCCCCAAGGGGAGCCTGGGCCTCAGTCACCCAGGCGTTCACATACCTGAGTTGCCCACAGTGACAACCTTCTCCTGAACTTTGTGCCGCTGGTGGTCCTTCAGTGCTTCCACGATGATGTTATAGGTGGTCCCTCTGGTGAGACCCGTCAGTGTGGCACTAGCAGAAGTTCCAGGAACTCGGAACTACCGTGATTGGCACATCCAACACAGAAGAGAAAGCATGACAGTGAGGAATCCCCATGACTTACCCTATGTCCTTCTCCATAACCCTCACTGTGTAAGCAGAATAAAGGGGGACAAATAGAGATGGCTGTCTGGGACCTTGACCCGCTTCCAAGGAGAGAAATGGAACCTGGGGGAGTGGCCATCACTTCCACCTGCCAGATTTTCCTGACAGAAATCTTCCCCATGCGCTGCACAGGCGCCAGGAGTCCCCAGTAACTCTAGGGACAGCCTCCGTTCCACCCTGCTGCACCCGCAGGTCTGTGCAAGCGACACCCCCCTTGCATGGAATGTAGGCCCAGCAGAGAGATTGATTTGTCCCACTCAAGGTGGTACCTGACCCCGCTAGGGTCTTTAAAACGCTTTGGTAAAAGCCTCCAACTCAAGTTTCTGAGCTCATAAATCTTCCACACTTTTAAAAATTCTGCCACTTTCTAAAAATGACAACACAATAAAATTGACATCAGCAAGACAAATTAAAGAATTGGTTTTAGTTCGAGAATCAATCACTTACAACAGCTGATATGCACAGCTTCACCTAAGTTCTTTCTCCTTAGAACTATTGTAGATGATGGGGCTCTTCAAGGACTAACTATAGGGTGTCACTGCAGCCCTTTGGGCACAAATATAAATTCAAGCAGAATATTCCTTTCTTTTCTAGAATCATTTCTTTGTCTGTACTACGAAGGAGCCTCAAATAGGTGAGAATAATAGAAAGGATTTCATTCTTTCTGCTAAATAAAAGCTAATGACACTCTGGTAATCTGCTACCCCCATGCCCTCCTGCTGCAAAGTAGAACCATACTGAGATTAAAAAAAAAAAAGTTAAGGGCTTAAGCAAGCCACCTTTCTAAGAGGCCCCAGGAATGTAGCCACTTTACATCAGCTTCGGTCCCTTCGGTTATCTAGCTTACTCCTTCCCGAGCCGCCCAGTCAGAAGTAAAGAGCAAAATTAATTACCTGTAAGGGCTCTTCGTCAGTGCCAACGGGATGACACGAAATTATATACTCAGAGCTTTCCTGGAACGGGGTCCAAGAGATGGTTGTCTGAGAGAGAGCTTCTTGTCCTGTAGAAGCATTTGGATTGAGTCCCGGAACGTGAGGGTAGAAGTGATGGTCTACGTCTCCCCTGGGGACATGACCGATTTGGATCTCCTCATTTACATTCGGTGCATACGGTCCTGGCCTATGCCTTACAGGGGTGGCCGTGGTGGGAGGTGTGGTCCGCCTAAAACCATGCTCCTCAAAGATCATTTGTTGCCCAACACTGGGCTGCTGACCCGAAGTGCCAGGAAGCTGAATACCGGTGCCATACTCATTGGTGATGGAAGGGGTCTTTTGAGCTGTGGAGGGAACATCCAAGATCTCTGGTCCTTGAAGGTTGGGGTGTGGAAGGGTTACCAGTTGGGGAAGCTCATCTAGCCAAGAGAGGTTAGAGCCAAAAAAGCAAAGCGTGTTAAGCTCCCAGAAGTACCAGCAGTAATCATTATCAACTCAGGCGACACAGATTGTTTATCGATTTGATCAAAGCCCCTGGAAAATGAGCAGTTTTTGGGTCACACAACACTTTTTTTCAGAAAGAAATCTTTATCTCTTTTTGCTCAAAGATTTCTTTAGAGTTTAGAATGAAAAAAGTGTTTGTATGAATTTATCATACACGCAAAGCTTTATACCACTGAGCCCCATTGAAGCTGCCGCTGCTCACATTAATCCTGATGGAAATGAAATGCTTTTTTTTTTTTCACTCGAGAATCATGTTTTAAGGACTAGAATCCACACCAATTATATAAGCAGCTGGAGGATGAGAATTCCAGAGGTTTGGTCCAATGGTTTTTTATGGTTTGAAATGGTACAAATAGATAAAAATACAAGTATATTTTTTGAATTCTAATAGCACAAATGTAGCACTTTCTTTAAATTAAACTAAGCGGATGAAAAAGTAAGATATTCTTTAGCTGCAAGTTTCAGAAAGTCAAATAATATTAACCATTTTTAACTTCAACAAAAGGTATAGGTGAATAGCAATCATAGTCATTTCACTTTCACATTTTTATGTTTTGAAAATTTTAAAGGTGAGTAAAAGGCTTTATATTGACTGGCTAAGAGAAAAATAAAACAATTCAGGAAAAATAAAATTGAAGTAACAGGTTATGTTAGGTTATCCCTACTATCAAAGAGGACAACGTATGTTATGCTGGTGGGGGAAAAAAGCAAACTTCCATGAAAAATGCCTCAGAACGTTTTCACTGCAAAGTAAATTTGTAATATAATTAGTTTTGCCTTGACTGTCCCCCATAACCCGGAAGGTGATCTTTCTTTACCTGTCTTTTTCCTCCCGATCAGAGGCTCACTCTTCTGGTTGTTCTTAAGGGCAATGACCTGGATTGTGTACTCAGTTCCCGGTTCCAGACCTGGTGGAAAGACAGATCGTCACGTTAAGTCCGTGGGCTCAGCCAGCCAAGTGGAAACTGATCTCATCAGGAGACACTCCTGGGGAGCAAGCGCTCTCTCCCCCTCTTGAAAGGTAACATTGACTTCACTTTTCTTCCACTGAACATTCAAATACTCTGCATGTGATGGCCACTTAGCAAATCAATGGTCTTACTACCAAATCAGACACCCGGATAAGCACTTGCATGCTAAATTCTTCTGGGTCTTCTTTTAGCCTGTGATCTCATTTGCCTTTTTGAATTCCAGAAAGTCTGTCAGCACTGTGCCCGGCCAGTGGAATGCACATTCAGGAGGGATCCCTGCAGATGGTCTCCAGGAGTCTGCTCAGGCCCAGTAACCAGGTGACCCTCAGTGACAGGGTCAGTGAAAGGTGAGACAACAGGCTAAGTGCACTGCAGGGGACAATGAGCGATCTTTGTGGGGTCCCTAGTGGAATTATCCAGTTCAACTCCTCCCATAGCTGATTCTATTTTCCTGTCCCCAAAGTTTGTAAAGAAAAAAAAAAACCCCACAAAAACAAACCAAAAAAAAACCCCAGCAAAAAACCAGTGTCTCCCCTTCTGGTACCTGTGTGTTCTCCAGATGATACTCTCACAAAAAAAAAGAATTGAAAATGTAACCTCTTGGACAAAAATAATACCAGAGGCCCATGACATACTGAAACGGACAACTCCTAATTCTCACACTAGGCATTCTCTTCAACATGGGTGGCTGGGAACCACTTTGCCTCATGAAGGGCAGTGACAGATAGAACTCTGGTGGCACATCCTGCAAAACCATCAGATCTTTAGGGAGTTAAGCATAAATTAGCTAGTTTGCCTCGAACAAAGACTTTTTCTAGGACTAGACTGACAAGTGTCTGGCAAACGTACAGCAAATAAAAAGATTTTAGTCATGCCATTAGGACAGTATGGGAATTCCTTCATTTACATGAACTCATGCCACTTGAGACGCACTGAGCTCTCCAGCTCCTACACAGAGCATGCTTCCTGGGCCTGCCCGAGATGGGCTCCCTGTTCTACACAGCCAGGGTCTGCTAAGCACTTGGTGTCCCAGGGGGAAAGGAGGAAAAATAGCAGCAGGGGAGCAGCAATACCAGTAATAGAAGCCTCAGTGACACCAGGGCGGGGCCGAGGGACCACTTCTCTGGGAGGGGACCCAGGCTTCTCATACTTGATGATGTAACCAGTGATCTTGGCCCTTGGCGGCTGCCATGACACCAGCAAGGAGTTGGGTGTGGTGGTCAGGAAGCGCAGGTTGGATGGTGCATCGATGGCTAAAAAGAAATCAAAATCAAGTCTCTAAGAAAATGAATAACCAGGAAAATTACTCCCACACCCTTTTCCCGGTCCTTATTAACAAACTTGAGAGAATCTGCGCGTTCTGTAAGCTGTAACAATGATTCACTATGATCTATAATACAAAAATATCAGCCTCATTTCTGTTCCTTAAGTGCACACGACTGGTCACATAGAAACCAGTGGCATCTCTTCAGCGGAAAATTATAGTTACCAGTGGAGGCGTCGATGATGACCGGGGAGCTCTGGGCATTGTCGTTCAGGGTGTACAAGTAGATCTTGTAGTCAGTGCCGGGTTGCAAACCTGGGATTTGTGAAGAGACAGGTTCAGCTGATCTGGAGTAGGAAGTTCCAAACTCATGTGCAGTTTTCACGGTTCCTCTACTGCCCCATATTTATATGGGCCACATATTAAGTGGCTCGCATTTGAACGTAGAGCGTGGTGTGGGTACTAACTGTTAATGAGAAATATATCTCAAAAGAAAATCGCTGATGTACACAAAGACACTGGCTAAAATAAATCTGAAAATACAAAAAGGCTACGTAAGAAGTGGCCCTCTTGGACCATGAGGGGCGAGTACCTATGGAGCGTTTTCTCTTCATCACCGTCAGACGGTCTTTGATTGGTTTCAGAACTTTAAACCTCAAAGAGACCTGGATCAACCCAGACACTGAACATCCTCTGGCTACCAATTTGACCTTTATGAATTTAGTGTTTGATTTTTTTAAAGCTAATTATGCTTTATAATCTATGCTAATGTCAAACGTTTTAAGTTGCTTTTTGTTTTAAGCATTATGTTACCATTTTTTTGTATATAAGAAAGGGAAAATCAAAAGGATGAATGGAACATGCCACTTCTCTGGCAAACATGAAATAAAATCAGGCATTCACAGGACAGAACTATTTCTGATCACGGTTTGAAAACATGCTGTTAAAGAATAGAGGTGGGTCATCATAAAACACTGAAAATAAAGTGTATCCGTGCAAGTGCTAGAATAATACGCTCATCTATATGGCGAGCAGCAGTGAACAAAGGCGGTCAGTCCCATGAGGTCCCCGACCTGTGATGGTGTAGCTTCTGACATCCGGACTGATGGTTCTCTGAACGGGAGTCTGGCCATTTGCCGGCATGGCTTCCACCTGGAAGCCGGTGATCGTCTCAGTCTTGGTTCTCCAGCTAATGGTGATGGTGGTCTCAGTGGCATCTGTCACGCGGGCCCTTCTGGGAGGGCTGACATCTGCATGGGATCATAGCCAGAGATCAGTGCCTGGCGGGCTCATAGAGGTAGGGGTGGTATTTTAAAATGCTTCTTTATTACACACCAAATACATCCGTTTCTACAGATGACGATGTATAGATTTTCTCCTGTGGCATCCAGAAGGAAAGGTTGCCAGTACTTAGAAATATAAAAATATTCACCTTTTGTTTTGAAGAACTAAAAAACCCTTGTTACAGATACTACCAGTGGTTCCCAAGGCCTGTTTTATAGTACCTTCAAATCTCTCAATAAATGGGAAAAATTTTAATTTATTAAAATGTAACAAGCGTAGTAGGAGTTAGAATCCTATGGCCAGCTAGCAATAACATATATGTGTACTGCTAGTGTTTTGTCGTTTTTATAGGACTTCATATTTTTTCTCTAAACAGATGGAACACCACCTCTTATTCTATAGATGAGGAAACTTTGACACTTTTTTATATGATTTCTGAAAGAGCATATTGTGAGTTACTGATATGGCAGAAAACTAGAGTCTGGGCCCCATTTTGACCACCACTACTGCACTGTTAAAATACGGCAGAAGGCTGCATGGACTCCCCAAACTTAACTCTGTAGAAACAAATTCCCACAAGTAGCGCATCAACTGGGCATCAGTCCTCGTCCATAATGCCAGTGCTTCAACCCCATGAAATGATCCCATGTGTGTGCCCACAGACCACTTTTGCGGACAGGGGCACACAAAAGGTGACAGGAGCTAAGTCACAATGGTGGGTGAGCAAATCGATTTCCAGGCTGAGAGTCATTCCATTGTTAGCTCAGTGATCCAGAAAGTCATGTGCCTTTCTAGATTTTTTACCTATACAGAACATTTTTTGATACTAAAACATTTCACAACTCACTCTCCAGAGTATTGACAACTCCATAAGCTGGCATGCTTGTCAACGTGTCCTTAAGGGCGTAGACACTCACTTCGTATTTGGTGGCCACCTAGAAAGAGGGGCGCAGTGAGCTTTAGCAAGGGGAAGCCCAGGGATCTTCACCACAGCATCAGGAAAACAACATGGTTATAAGAGAAAAAATAATCATAAACTAACAAGACCTGCAGCACTATAAATTCCTAGATTAATTTTCATTCCTACACAACAGGTGATCAATAACAAATTTAAATTACATGAATTTTAAAATGCCTTCAGAGGTTAAGCTCCAGTAAGCTGTAACTTACATACTTAGGCGGAACTGATATGCATTGAGGAAAATGGGTGTTAGCCTGTTTTTGTCCTTCATGAACTGATGTAAAAACTGAGAATTTTTCTGACCATAGGGAGACAAAGAGAATTCCCTATTCTATCACTGAACCCTCTTTCCATAGTTTCTTCTGGAATTGGGCTTCTGTTAAAATGTACATTAGTCTCCTAGGTTCCTGGCTAGTTTTTGACACGCAGGTCCAGAAGGACTAAAGCTGTTTTACTGAAGGGAGGGTCAGGCTGGGTTGGTACAAACTGGAGAATATCCTTTGCCAAGGTAACAGAGCTCAGACAATGCATAGTGACTAAAAGTAGATGTATGCATTCAGCCTGTAGACATATAACTTGCCCCTACCCACACATAACCATTTAAAATAAAGACAATACAAAACAAATAATAAAAGAAATAAACAGAATACATTTAAAGAGCTGTAGAACAGCCCTGGCTGGTGTGGCTCAGTGGATTGAGTGCCAGCCTGTGAACCAAAAGGTCACCAGGTCGATACCCAGTCAGAGCACATGCCTGGGTTGTGGGCCAGGTCCCCAGATGGGGGCATGCGAGAGGCAACTGATCAATGTATACCTCCCTTTCCTTCTTCCTCCCTTCCCCTCTCTCTAAAAATAAATAAACTATATATAAAAGCTGTAGAACATCCAAAACTATTTTTTATAAACTTGGTACAAAATTACAATAAAACAATTTGATGGCGGGGCAAAGAATACAATGGGATATATTATGATATTGTATTTCTACCACCTTCAAGTGTGTAAAAGACGGCCTACTTCTTTATCCAATAAAAAGGGCACTTCTTACCATGAGTCCTGATACAACCACAGATGAGCTATCAGGAGAAAGGTTGATTTCTTTCATTGGTCCTGTCTTCTCTTTGGGGGTCACCCGCACCCGATAGCCAGTGAGCTGAATGTTGGGTGCTGTCCACTGGGCAGTCAGGCTCGTTGGTGTAACCTGAATGAACTTCAGGTTGGTTGGTGCAGGAATGGCTGTCGAGATGGTCATTGGTTAGAGGTTATCGTATAGGAAATGGGGAAGTGGAAAATAAAGTGAATTCCAAGAAGTAGACTAGACTGTGATTGTTTTTGGTTCGGTGGGTTCCCTGATCAAAGATTCAGTACAAGGAAGTACAAGAAGGGATGCAAAATTAAGAAAATGTTTGCTGAAAAAAATGTTTCATATCCACCAATGCTCAGAATCACTGGAAACACAAGTAAATGTCAGAATTCTAGAATTTAGGCTTTAGCAGATGTGTTTGCTTTCCTTTAAATTTTTTTTTAAGTCAGAATGACTTATTGGCCATTGAGATTGATTTTCCATTTATATGGAAAGAAGAGCAACAGCCCTTTTCCTATATAAATTGTCTTTGCATGAAAATCCATTTCACAGAGTATTCCATACCCCAAAAGTTAGAATTATGTTTTTATTCTCTTTATTTGGACCCCGTGGCAGATATCTCTGCTGAAATTTGCAGTATTCTCTGTGGTGCAGCATAAGAAAATTGAATCATAACAGAAGCAGAAGAGAGAAGCAAAGAGCAATAACACAGACTGTCACCTCCAGGGTCTATGCTGTCACAAGGATGCATCTTTAGCATTCCCCTGTGCTTCAGAAACAAAGCACACGAAGGTAAAATATTGTGGAAAGCATCTGCCCTATGTGTCTGACTCACAATGCTTTAAGCACATTAGACACCGAGCACACGATATCTAATCAGAGAAGGAAGGTCTTACCCACGTGTTCTCAGAATCATGCTGCTATGAATGGCCCATTCAGGGTTCCTTTTTTAGAGAAAGCTCTAGGATGCCAAACTTCTTTCCTTTATACACAGTGAGTAGAGCCACAGGGAGGCATGGCTTAGGAAGTAATCCACAGTTTAAGACTTCTTTTCCCATGTCTCGCTTTATGGCCTTGTTTAGAAGCCAAGCTACTCCAAAATGTCTGTTTATTAGACTTCCCCTAAGTATCACCTAAACTTCATTGTTTAGTACTATTCCTCTTAAAGAGGACCTTTCCTTTTTTCTCTCTTTTAACCCCCTTATGCGGGAATCAATAGCCTGATAAAGTATAATTCATTCAGCAGGGCATAAAGCCTCTGCTCCCATGAGCACCCAGTGGTGCGATTAACGATATACCTGTGTACTGGGTTCCAATCAGGGGCTGGCTCTCCATATCATCGTGCAAGGCAACCACACTGACTGTGTACTCAGAACCAGGCCTGAGGCCTTTCAGCTCTGCAGTGTCTTCTTCACCATCAGGTGCAGGGAATAGCTCATGGATTCCATCCTCAGGGCTCGAGTAGGTCACCCTGTACCTGGAAACTTGCCCCTGTGGGCTTTCCCAAGCAATTTTGATGGAATCGACATCCACATCAGTGAATGCCAGTCCTTTAGGGCGATCAATGTCTGTTAGGCAAATTAATGGTAAGAGGTTATGTGAAAAGCAAGTTGTGAAATAAGCATTTTTATAACATGCAAAGCAGTTCTGCAGATACCATTCTGATGAATTAAATTCCAATTAACCCTCTATTACACAGAAAATCACCTGACACTTGAAGTATTTTGGATTTAGAAAACAGTTAATGTCGCATCGCTTAATTAAAACAGGTGTACGCGAGACGCGTAGGCACCCTGCAAAATGTCTTCATGAAGAGGATTTACTTGCGTTAATTTTAAGATATTCTACCAAAATTTGCTTTTGTCATGTGATGTTAGTCTCCCAGACCTGGATTTTCTACACCTTGGAAGTGGTGAAGTTGACTTTCAAGGTTAGATTTACCTTGTTTCTTTAACTCTCCTTCCCCACCCCACCCCCTTTAAGTGTTTACGTTAAACACTGGTGCAGCCACAGTCCTGCCAGTGCTGCAAACCTAGCTGCTTCAGAGGAAACGCTTCAAATCCACTTCACCATCTGGCTGTAGAAAAGACGGGCCTGGGAAAATACTCTGTAGATTGTGCTGTTGGCAAATAAGATTTTGCTGAGGCCATTTGAGCAAAAGAAATTTAAAGCACAGCAACTAACTACAGTGGTTCCACAACTTCTTTCCCTACATGTTCACAGCTTGGCACCAAGAAGGAAAAAAAAAACGTCTGTATATAGGGCTCAACTCAACCTACAAACTAACCAACACGTTGGCTTTCCCCATGTATAATCACAAACGACATGCAGAGGGCATTCAGACGCCTAAGAACAAAGTCTGACTTTGGAAAGGGAAACTGAGCATGGGTTACGTACTGGTTACTGCCGTCTGGACCAGAGGCTGACTCTCTCCGTTCTGACTCTGAGCATAGACACTAACCACATACTCCATTGTGGGCTGCAAGCCTTCGATGGTCATTTCTGTTTGATCTGCAAAGAAAATGAAAAGCAAATGCAGCAGCTCTGTCGTCCACTGGAAGGTCATCCAAGTGATGTTCAGACTCCGGGAGTAAATGTGCGGGGGCCTAGATTTTCACTGGCAGATTTATCAGGAAAACATGGATGAGTCGGACATGGATTTCCTTTTGGACAAACATGGTCATTGCTGATACAAACTGTCATATTGGAATAAAGTCACACTAAAGGATAAGTACTCCATGGAGCATATCTCTTTGCCCTCCCCTAAGATCTCCAAGGGCCCTTCTTTTGCCTCTGTAACGTGTTTCCTTAGCCCACACAGAGCAGCTGGCGCACTTTTCCCACCTCTGTGACTTTCTAAATAAATGTTCCCTTGCATTTGAGAAAAAAAAAAGATATTGCCTTAGGATCCTAATTTCACAAGTATTTTATATAAAAACAAAAACAAGAGCTAAGAAGATCTTTAAAAGTCAGTGAGGCCATTTCTCTCTTCTTGATGTACATGGCAAACAAAACGGTAAAGGCGGATCTCATAATTTAAGGTGTCTGCACCATTAAACAGGACCGTGCAGGTAAAAACAGAGCTGCACTGACCCTGAAAATTCTGTGGAGGGAAGGACAACCTTGAGTCCTGAATTCACAATTGGGGGAACGAGGACATAATGATATAAAAACACATGGTACTCAGAGGTAGGTGGCTGCTTATTTAAAAGGCCTACCATGCGGGCCTGCTCTGTTTTTCCCAGTGTGCGTGAGACGCTGGCGATGCTTACCTGGACCTGCAGTTTTAGTTTTTGTTGGTCCCAAGCCATTTTTGGGAGCGGTGGTCACTCTGTAACCAGTGACAGGGGAACTCGGAGGCAGCCACCTGACACTGATGCTGTTGTCCTGAACATCAGTCACTTGCATCTGGGACGGTTTGTCAATTTCTGTAAATGAAAACAGGGAAAAACCAATGAAGCCACAGTCTATGGCAACAAGACTGAACGTGTCCTTGTCTCCAGTTCTGGTAAATATTGGATGATCTCTGACTATAATTAGTGACCTCCAAGTGTTTCTTTTGCAGAAACAGAGATAGCTTTTAGGGAGTATCTCAAAACCATTACCTACTTTCAAGATGGCTACTTCACTCACAAAGAAACTACAGTCTAACCAGGTGTTTGTCTTCTTATTTTATCAGCTCACTCATTCATTTATTTATTTTTTTAATATTTTATTTATTTATTTTTAGAGAGGGAAGGGAGGGAGATAGAGAGAGAGACAAACATCAATGTGCGGTTGCTGGGGGTTATGGCCTGCAACCCAGGAATGTACCCTGGCTGGGAATCGAACCTGGGACACTTTGGTTCCCAGCCCGCACTCAATCCATTGAGCTACGCCAGCCAGGGCTACTCATTCATTTATTAACAAACATTTATAAAACACCTTCTATGTCTGTCTCTATTGTAAGCAGGTGGACTAAATCAATCGATGAAACAGACAAAAATCCCTGCCCTACAGGGTATTTCTTTGTACATCTGGCTCAAAACAAATAGTTGTAGGTGCTCTTCGTCTTCTTAAAAAATAAGTCAGTTTCACAGTGAAGGAAATTCCTTGGGCGAACACTGTACAAACCATCTGAGTGAATAAGCCTGCGTCATCCGAAGGAGTCACTACCTGTTCGGTAATCAATGGAAATGGGCTTGCTGCTCGCTGGGCTGTCCCCTCGGCCAGTGACAGCGTAAACGGTGATGGTGTAGTCCACTCCAGGTTTAAGGCCACTGATTGTAGCCGTAGACTTGCTCCCAGGCACAGTGAACTCCTGCATGGGGCTGTTTCCTCCTGTTTGGAAAGGGGTTCGTCAAAACCAGAGGGACGGACAGATACTTGGGAATCCCTGAACAACTGAGTTAAGGTGCTGGGAGAAGCATGTAAGCTATACCTTTACTTATTCCCTTTACAAAAGTGCTGTCAATGTGGCTTGAACAGAAATGAATATACTTATTGATGCATGAGATAAACCTTGATAAGTTTGTAAAAACAGGGAGAAAATCACAGTTACGACATTTTAATATGCCAGCTTTAAAAAGCCAGAGTTGTTGATTGACATGAGAAGGGAGAAGAAGGTAAGTCCTCAACTCAGGATTGCATAAACTGTGTTCCTTTTTCAAAATTTTAACAGAATATATTCATGTTAAATAAAATTTTGAAAAGGCAGAAAAGTAAAAAGGAAAACACAAATAAATCACTTATTATTTCACCACTGATAATATACAAGTGAATTTACAATCCTTTCTTCCTCAAATCTTCTCTTCTCCCTCTAGGATTATACAAACAACTTTTTATCTTGATTTTGCTACCAATCACATCGTGCTTATTTTCCTGATTTCCTATTTTCAGAAAAGGCAAGGCTCCACTGAATGGACTTGCCAAACTTTCTTTAATTGTGTGCTGGCTGTTGGGCTTTCAGATTACCCCCAGCACAATCTGATTTGATTAGAGTGTGAAAGAGCCTTTTGCTAACACACCTGTTTCTCCATAGGTGATCCTGTAGTATCTCACGGTGACAGCAGGGGCTTCCCAGCTGATCAGCATGCTGGTGGGGGTCGTGGCAACAACTTCCAGGTCCCTCGGAACATCAGAAACTAGAGAAAGCAAAGGAAAGTTCTTGTGTCCGTAACTTTCAGACAAGGCACGGCTTCGCACGTCGTTCATTTTCCAGGTAATTGGCTTTGTGATTTTTTAAAATAGAATAATGTAAATACGATACAAAAATAGCAGAATTCAAAATTACGAACAGTTCAAGGTAAGGAGTTAAGGAGTCAATTCAAGTTCTGATAAAATTATTATGTCAATTGAATGGTGTTTTTCCCTAAACTTTTTATCTTGAAAAATTTTAGAACAACAGGGAAGCTACACAAACAGTATAAGGAATACCCATAACCCCTTCCTATAAGTATTTCCTAATTGGTAACATTTGCTCTCCTGCTCCCTTTTTATTAATCCATTTGAGACTAGCGTACAGATACTGTGATAATACTTCTCCCCTGAGTACTTCAGCATCTATCTCTTAAGAACTTTGACACTATTACATTAAAATAATTATGCTGTTAAGGAAACTCTTAAAGAGTGTTTTGAATCCAACTGTGGTTAAAAATGCATAAATACCTAAACCAGGTGAGAAATTTCTTGGGATAAGACTATTTCCTTTAACATAATCTAAGAAGAAGATTTTTCTCCACACATTCTCCCACTTCCCTCTCCATGTCTCATAACCATGATGGATTTTTTAAGAGATCGTAACTCAGACATCACAAACCTATTTCACAGAAGAAACCAGCCTAGGAAAGTCCCCTGAGTTTCTTCGAAAACCAGAAAACAAGTTACCTGTTGATTGCTGGCCAACCAATGGGGGACTTTCCTCTCTGCCATTAAGGGCAACAATGCTGACCACATATTCCGTGCCCGGGTTGAGGTTGCTGAGGGTGATGGAATTCCGAGTGGGGGGCACTCGATCTTCTCGAGGTCGTCCACCTGCGTGTTCAGGATGATGGCGAATCCTGTAGCCAGTGATGGTGGCTCGAGGAGCAATCCAATGGACAGTGAAAGAGTTGGCAGTGATATCAGAAAAGTCAATGCCAGTTGGAGAATCAAGACCTGTTTTTCCAATCCAGGGAAGAAAGAAGGAGAGGGGGAGGGAAATAAAAAAAGACACCACCAGGTAAGGAAGTGAGAAAATAGGGGAAAGTAACATACATCCAAAAAGTTTCGGTTTTTTCATTAATACAGTGAATTGCCATAAGCCTCAGCGTATGATACACTGATTCTAAGCCACATATAAATTTCAAAATCATAAACTGACTCAGTTCAAAATGGACAGCTCAAGCATTCTTTTCTTTTTTCTTACAGTACGTTTCTGGATCATATTTAAAGAATAGGTGTTTAAGATATCCTGGGAAATGATATTTTAAATGCCTCAGTGTTCAGTATTCTAGGTTTCTGTCCTATAAGTTTATCTCTGAAAGTGAGAAGACCTTCTCACTCCCAGGCTGTGTTTGGCTCTCCAAGAAGCTTTCTACACTCATAAGAGAATTGGTATGTCAACAGGGTGGTAATGGGGTCGAACACAAAACTTTTTAAAACTAAGACATTATTCTGGACAAATTACAATGCAAGTAATTCCTCATGAATGGAGAATTTAGTGGAGTGTAGAAAACTCAGCAAGAATGTGGAGTTTATCTCAAATTCAAATCATGTAACCTCTCTGGGACTTCCAACACTATCCAATAATATAGTCAAACCAAACTAAGATATCTCAACCCCTTTTTGGAAGTATGTGGACTATAATAAATAAATTAGTGAATATATTAAACTATACTTTTTTTATATATTTTATTTATTTATTTTTAGAGAGGGAAGGGAGCGAGATAGAGAGAGAGAGAGAAAAACATCAATGTGTGGTTGCTGGGGGTTATGGCCTGCAACCCAGGAATGTACCCTGGCTGGGAATCGAACCTGGGACACTTTGGTTCCCAGCCCGCACTCAAAAACTATACTTTTTTAAAGGGAAAAATTAAAAGTACTCATCTTTAAGAAAGAACAGATTATGGGCTTCAATTCAACTTTCTTTTTTTAGTAAATGAAGATTCCATCAAGTAGAAAAAAGAGATCAACTTTCTGGCTTCGTAAAACAGGGAACATACTTATGACAATGATAGCGCTGGGTCAGCCATTAGACAGAACCCCCTAGCGAGAAGGAATGTTTACCATCCCTGAATAATAGACAACAAAGTTTCTGGACTAATTTCAGTCCTCTCTGGAAAGAGAAGAGTAGACTCTGGGAGACCGAAAGTGAGGGCCATAGTTGAATATGGTGTCTTTTAATTTTCAAGACCAGTGATCAGAAAGTAATGACAAGGCCACAAGGACCCCCATCTCCACCACAACAGATGGAGATGTATTTTTAGAAGTAGCATTCCATTTTTGTCACTTAAAATTGGTAGGTGGACGCACCTTGATAAGCATATTGCCAACGTGACTCACCTGTTTTCTGTCTTCCTCTGAGAGGCGTGCTCTCGTGCTGCTCGTAAACACTAGAGACGCTGACTACGTATTCTGTGCCGGGCAGGAGATCTGAAGAGGCAAGTGGGACTTATTTTAAAATTGTGCTTGAAAGCAGGAAACACGGAAACTCCCCTGGGACTATTTCCACTTATAAAATATCAGAGTCCGCTCCTTTAGCCTACTTACACCTCAGTGAATATGGCTACCTGGAGATGGGCTAAGGAAGGGCCACCTTACCCTGGAGCATCTCCAGGCCTTGCCCTCGGGCTCCCGTGAGAGTGTTACTCAGCCTGATCTGCAGTAAAGGTGGAGTTGCTATAGCATAGTAATAATATTCCTATCATCCACTTAATAGATAGTCTGTGAGGTTGTATGATAATAATGACCCTGGCTGTGGGTTATCATTTACTCCTCAGAACAACCTAGTGAGATGGTTGGCTGCGTTTTTAAAGCAGCTGTATTGCCATATAACAAACCGCACACATTTCAAGTGCACATTTTGACAGGTTTTGATACAGGCATATGCTTTGAACCCATCACTACATTCAAGACAATGAGCAAACCTATTACCTGCAAAAGTTTGGTTTATGATTGTTCCCACTTGACAAATGAGAAAACTGAGGCACAAAGCAGTTATCTTCTTTGATCTGCTGCTTGCCCAAGACCGTACAGGAGTTGACCACAGCCAATGGTCTTAACAATTAACCTTTACTGGAAGAGTTACACTCCCAAAGGAAAGTGATTGGTTCTGCCACATTAAGATGAGAGCAGAACACTTAAAAAACTTAAATAAACATTCCTTGGATGGTCCCTCATGTCGAGGAACCAGCAAAGGTACAGAGTAAGGTATCTGACTGTTGAACACCTACTCATTCAACCCCACTCCCCTCCATATCATCTCCCCTTCAGCCTTCCTGCAAAGGCCTGTGCTGGGTGCTTGGACTCCACTTTTCTCCATTTCTACTTGGCCAGGAGCAATTTACTTAACCACTGGGCACCTCAGCTGCTTCATCTGTAAAACGGAGTAATGATGGCTACTCTAGGGGGAAATGGCTACCTTGAGATCTAGAATAGGATCTAAAATAAGATCTTAGAACATAGGATGGGCATGTGCTAGGAGAATAGATGACGGGCATGTGCCAGGTCTGGGGCTTAAGGTGGGGCAGATGGTGGTCCTGAAGCAGGGGCTTCTGTACTGGGTGATGTAACTACTGATTCCAGAGCACTCCAGAACACCCGGCCCGCTGATAGGCACACATGAGGAGGCTCTCGCCCTCAGCCACAAAATGAGAAAGCAAAACTGGTCATGTGCAGAGATGTCTTTCACTCTCTAAAACAGATCTGAATGACAGAGAGGGTTTTCAGACGGTCATGTGGTGATGGACCTCAATGTGAGCTATTCTCCCTGGTGAAAGCACTGGAAAGCCACACTGACGGGAATCACGGCGCCATGTTGCAGCCCACTTACATTTTCTTTAATAAAGGGTATCTATTTCAAAAGAGTAGGAACTAGAAAGGGACAATTTCCATAAATTGTTGTGTTGTTTATTTTAATGTCAGTTGTTTTCTAAGTCCTCAGCCTTCAGAGAAATCCCGCTAACAGATTCTTTTTGAAGTACAAATTACACTGGCTCCCTCTTCAAAGGGGCATCTTGATCTATCCTGAGGAACTAGTCACTGTTTCTGTGTTTTCAGATGCTAAAGAGATTCCCTGCTGACACGTGGGTGGTGGGGCAGGAGGGAATAAAACAGATATGGTGACATTATTTTTCATCTTCATTTTCTCTCTGAACGTTCAAATGTACTCGTATAATTTCTCTGGACATACATCATTTTTACGTGCTTATTTGGCAGCAGAACTCATTTGAAGTCTTCCAACTTCATTGCTGGTGTTTTTCCTTAAAAAGTTGGAGATACCGAAAATGTATAAAGATAACAACAAACATGACATCTTTCAGGATTTACAGCGCTGCAGGTCCGACTTTAGTTTGTAGTTCGGTTGTACTTGCCTGGAGTTTATTTGCTCCTGCCTGAGAACTCAGAATTCCTTCCTGACACTCTAGCTTAGCATTTATCGAACAGATACATCGGACCTCTTACTTGTTAAGACCACTGCATTGTCTGACGGAGAAATCGACAACTCCGCAACATCTTCCTCATTTTTCACAGGCGAGTAGCGCACCAGGATGCTGGTCAACTCGATGGACGGAGGTGGGGCCCAGGTGACACGAATGGTGTCTGGACCAACGTTGGTGAATCGCAGGTCCGTGGGGGCAGGCACAGCTGGTTTCAAGTACGAGGAGAGACTACGTTATTGTCATTTTACAATGAAGGCTAACAAAAATAGCTGGAAATGTAAAAACAATATCTCATGCATAAAGGAAATGAGTACTAATCATGCAAATAGTCTAATCTAAATCTAGTCTAAATGAGAGTAAACTATAGTTGACCCTTGAACAAAACAGGGTTGAACTGTGTGGGTCTAGGTGAACTTTTAAAAATAAATTCTGCAAATGTATTTTCTGTTCTTTATGATTTTCTTATTTTCTTTCTCTAGCTTACTTTACTGCAAGGATATAGTATGTAATTTGTATAACATACAAAATGAGTGTTAATTGACTGTTCATGTTATCAGTAAGGCTTCCAGTGAACAATAGGCTATTAGTAATTAAGTTTCGGGGGAGTCAAAAGTTATACATGGATTTTTTTCCTGTGTGGGCGGCCAGCGCCCCAATCCCTATGTTGTTTAAGGGTCAATTGTACTGTTAAAAATAAAACACTACACCTAGCACTGTTAGGCTCCTTTAACCTTTCTGCCATCAATTTGTCTTCATAATTTTCATATACTTCCCAATATGTTCATCTTAAGTACATTGTTAATACCACTGAAGGTTACTTTATCCCAGGCTGAAGAGGCTCAAGTTGCCACACAGCAAAGAGAAACATAGCAGTACTTTCCAAAGAAACACATGCACACAGACAAAAAGACGAGAGGGTCCTAAATTTCCCCCTGACGTGAGGTGACTAGAGCTACAATTCCATTCAGGAAACACTACTTACAAGTGAAGAGGGTTCATGCAAATCGGTTCTCAGCATGTTTCTTACCATGCAGGGCAGAGAACGTTTATAATGTTGCATGCTGGTCCCCAGACTGAGGTTAAAGAGGAGTTTCTTTACCTCACCATAACAATGGAACTCAGAGCGCTCCAGAGCTGTTGTTTTGTTTCCCTACCTCCAAACAACCCTCCTGCCACTGTACGGTACACTGTACATTTCAATGGGCTTTCTGTCCGCTACAGGGAAGGAGCGTGGTAGAGTTTATCGAAGAGCAGAAGGAGACGCACAATGGTACATTTTGGACAGACGCTTCTAATTAACTGGTGCTGACTATAAAATTTAGCATTAATGTTAGAGCATTTAAAAAAATTACAGGTCTGCAAGCTCAATTAATCTTTGCCCTTTTGTATGTAATAGATCAGCTATCTATATTTCATTAGCTTTGTACATATTTGTGCTTTAAATGAAAGCACACTTAAGATTATTCGAATATGCCTTCATCCAATCAGTTTAGCCTCTGCCTTTGTTTCCTGACGCCTTAAACTAGCCTCTCTTAATCTTTGGCCAATTGCTGGCTTTCCCGTTGAAACATCCACATTTAACCAGAGTGACTGGTGGCAGCATGCAACACCATCCGTGTCTCAAACACAGAAGTTTTCAAAATTCACCCGTTTGCTGTGTCAGTGTGGTAGGGGCACTCTCTCCGCCATTAATGAGCGTGATAACGCTGATGTCATAGTCAATGCCCGGCTCCAGCCCTGTCACTGTGTAGTATCCTACTGAGGAGTCCACAAAATCTTCAAAAATGGGGATACCTTCTCCTGCCGCAACTACTGTGATGCGGTACCCAATAATGGTGGAGGAGTTTAGCGGGGTCCACCTCAGGCCGATGCTCGAATCGGTTATGTCAACAAAGCTTAGGTCAGTGAGTTGGGGCACCTCTATTGAGTTATAAAGCAGAGGGGGGGGCAAAAGAAAAATAGAGGCAAAAAAGAGGAAAAAATAAAGCAGTGTACATCAGGTTACGAGTAGTAAAATCGATGGAATGTGAAAGCAATGATGGTAATATGCAATCTGTTCCAAATTATCTGAAAGACTGTCTGAGAGCATCAGGAATACTTGACTTCCCTGGAAGAATCAAACGGGTACCATATTCTTAGGGATTTTCTTATATTTTGGAAATGTCTCTGAAACAGTATAGTTTGAACCTCTCGGGTTCCTAAAAATTATAGGCCTGTTTAGGATGTCAAAACTGTTTCTAGGATCCAGACACAGTATCTGTAGGAAGTATCAGCAATGTTTAAAAAAAAAATCCAATGTTTTTTTAGTAGGAAATTAAAGCTTGCATGAAGAAGATTTTTAAAAAATTGGTTGATGAGTTTTTTCCTTTTCTCTCTCCATACAAAAACTCATGCAAACATATGGTCATAATGCTAACACATCATATGAATATATGGTGTGAAACGTGCCATTTAAAAGCATATTCAGGTGGGAGACAGGCCTGAGTCCGAGGCCATTGCCAATATTTTGTTTAATTCGTAATCAAAGTTACTTTAGCATCACTAAAGCATTCTACCAAAAAAGTGCGAAGGGGACCACCATCCGTCCGCTGTCATTCTGTCCCAATCCAGCTTTGGACAAACAACAAGCCTATCCCTGCGGGCTTTTCAGGGCTGTGTTTCAGTCCATAAGAAAGAAGCCCCTGAAGGTGTGGTCTTTCTGTTCCTTTCTTTTCAATCTTAAAAAAAAAGGATTTGAAACAGCCAGAAGAAGAACTGGATGTACCAGTCAAGTGCTATCTCAGGGCTCACATACAGAGACAGGTACTCTTCCACAGACAGCAGTTGACAATCGGACAGTGAAACCAGGCACAAATGTACTGATGGCACACATTCACCGTATTACTTTGGGCCTATCAGTACTGACTACAGACACGTGACATTGCTTTAGTGCCATTTCCACGTGAGCAGACATTCAGAGTTAGCAGACATTCGTGGTTGCCACTCCGCTACATACTCATCGCAACAGACAGCATCCCAGTGAAGCACAGACAGGAAGCGGTGTTAAAGCAAGCATTTGTCCAAATAGCTGCTTTGACTTCATGGTTTTGCAGAGTGTGCTTGGGAGGTCAGGATTAAATCCCAGCTCTATCTGACACTCTCAACCATCCGGGGATTAAGACGTTAATCCCCACTCTTACTGAAACTGCCATTCTGAGGATAACAGCTTATTTTTCCATTACCTGGGATGATGGTATCAGAGATAGGGACACTTTCCTTGTTATCTTTGACAGTATAAACACTGACGTTGTACTCCAGGCCAGGATTCAGGTTTTCAAAAGTGCAGGAACTCTGATCTGCATGGACCGTTTCTTCGAAAGAATATCCCTGCTGGTCATTTGTCGGGGTGGTGGTAATTCTATACCCAGTAATGTCTGCAGGAAACAGAAAGGCAGGAGTTACTGAGTGGAGGATTTGCAACCCAGAGCATTCTAAACCAGACCCCAGTGATGATCTCACGTAGGTGAATGGAGAAAGGGCATTTATCAAGGAACTCGACTGTCATTAGTGCTTATAATAACCCTTTGAGGCAGGAATTAATATTCTTGGTTTAAAGAAAATCTTGTTAACAGGGAAGTGATTACCAAGGGTTTTCCTGTCTCAAAATTCCGTGACCCCTGTACCCTGATTTTCCACAATGGGTCATCTACGTGATACCTAAGAAATATTCCATTTTATCTGCTTAGCGTGAAATGGCTTCCAATGCTACAATCATTCCCCAGAGTGGGCTCTCCTAACATTCGAAGTCTGAATCCTATATGGGATTTACAGGGAGGGAAGAGAATAGGAAAAGGGGGAGGGGGAGTGGCTCTGCTTATTCTAGAGAAAGAATATTAATTGATAAATATTTCAGGAATCATAGAAATCAGGCACTAAGAGCATCAAGGAGGAGGACACAAGTGGAAACAGTAATAACTAGAGATCTGCAGGGACAGACTAAAGTAAATGAGAAAGTGTATTTAAGTGAAACTTACTAAAGGGCAAAATGGTATATTTTGTCATTAGACACAGGGTAAAAACTAAAGTGGTACAAACAAGGAAATCCAACTGGATGGGAAGTAAATGTTGAGGGCGTTACATTTGCTAGCAGCCATCCAGACAGGCAGGCTAGGCTATCCATTCAGATGAAATGTTAATGATTGTGCTTTTGGCAAGCATGAAATTTGCCAACTTAGTTTCAAATTCAGTCATTTGGCTGGAAATAGTGTAACTTTGGCTTAAGCAACGTTTCCATAGACCATGAAAACTTCACCAAAATCACTCTACTTCAGAGGGGAATTCAAAAGGATATTTTGGCCCTGGCTGGTCTGGCTCAGTGGATTGAGAGCTGGCCTCCAGACCAAAAGGTTGTCGGTTTGATTCCTAGTCAGGGAACATGCCTGGGTTGTGGGCCAGACCCCCAGTTGCGGGTGTGAGAGAGGATGCCAATTGATGTTTCTTTCCCTCGCTTTCCCCCTCTTTCTACAAACAAATAAATAAATAACATCTTTAATTTTAAAAAGGATATTTTGAGTTAGTTTTATTCTATGCAACTGTGCACATGGATCAGATAATTAGAGATAATTTTCTTAGTTGTGTGCCTGAGCAAAGGTAAGAACTGTTTTTAAAATGACAGTGAAATTAGTCCTGGCTGGTGTGTCTCAGTCAATTGAGCATCTGTAAACCAAAGGGTCTCTGGTGTGATTCCTGGTCAGGGCACATGCCTGGGTTGTGGGCCCGGTCCCCAGTGGGGGGATGTGCAAGATGCAACCACACACTGATGTTTCCCTCTCTGTCTCTCTCTCTCTTTCTCCCTTCCCCTCTCTAAAAAAATAAATAAATAAATAAATAATAAAGTCTTTTTTAAAAATTACAGTGAAATTAGAATTAGTGAAATTATAAACTAAATGTAGACCTTAAAGTAAGAAGTATAATAGTTATGTATGAAATCATGAGCTGGAACTTCTGTTTTTGTTTAATTTAGAATTTTCTCAACTATGAGTATCCCGATATCTCAATAGTGATTCTTCCAATATAACCAATATTAAATAAAATAATTACATTTGAGTTAACCATTTCTGATTTAAAGAGACTCATGTGGACTTGGCAAAGGTGAGGCATATCAAAAATTTCTCCAGTCATGGTCATGTTACATTATGCTGCTTGAATGTTGCTATAGCTAACTTCAATCACTTTCGAACTCTAAAAATAAGACTCAGTGTGTGTGGACATGGAGTTTAGACAAAAGCTACGTTTAAAGTTTTAAAAGTGGTCATGGAACTTCATTTAAGCAACTTTCTCAGTGTTGAGTATAAGTAAAAAACACATAGTTAAGTTCCAAATACAGTCCGTGATGCTGGCTGTGAGAAGGGGTATGGAAAACTTGAGCTATAATCCCAATGGTGTGACATTTAACATTTGTGACTGTGGGCAGGTCAGTTTTTTTCTGAGTCTGTTTTTTCATCCTATAAAATGGACCATTTCTACCTTCCATTACCCTGAGATTTGTGTGGTGCAACTCATGACAAAATATCTGCAACTTCACTGAATTATAGAGTCTGTAATAAGCCATAAAAGGAAAATTACATAGTATGGTTTCATCCATTTGTTTGACAATTTTGAATGCCGCTGAGCAAAAACCACCTTCCAGAACCTTCTCCTGAGCCCTCAAGACTCCCTATGGCTCCATAAGATTCTGCCTTGTCCTCTGTCCTATGATTTAAACAAAGAGGCAGTAAAACACCCTACCTGTCACTCCATGACATTCACTCATGTCCTCCTGTCCTGTATTTTTTACGGAAGGGTAGGTACGTATCATTTTAAACCTATATTTCTCTGAGAACAACAGTTTCTAAAACCTTTGTCTCGGAACGGCAGAGCACATGCGTGCCCTCAGATACGCCGCAGGCTAACCTGGAGTGGAGCTCCTTTCCCATGAGACCGTCAGCACGCCGGTGTCGGGGTTTGCATCCAGGTGCAAGTTGGTTGGTGGAGACACGGCTATGTGGAAAAAAAATGTGTAAATTAAAAGTTAAAGCTAATACGAATTATTTGACCTATGGAATGTTTCTCTCCCTCCCTGCGTTTCCTTCTTTCTTTCCTTCCTCCCTCTCTCCCTTCCTTCTTTCCTTCCTTCCCCTCTCTCTTTTTGAAAGAATTAGTAAAAACATAGAGGTTGTATTATGAAACCATGGTGGACAGTAATCCTCTGACCGAATTTTTTTGATGATCAACAATTTTTTTAATGCTAGTGGAATCATTTCCATCTTGCCAGTTGATAAATATTCTTGACACAGGAAGAACACTTCTGATGCCATGGAATATATGACATGAATCGAACTTGCTACTTAAAATTTAGAAATAGCTGATAACAGCAGGCATGGCTCTTTCCCCTGGGCCATGGTCATAAGTAAAAATGATACGATGTTAGCCATTCTTTGAAAGTGGAACAGTTTTAAAAAAGAAAGAACAGCAAAGAGCTCCTCTTACGTGTCACCACTTTGTTGACAATGGGTGTGCCTCTCTCCTTCCCATCTCTGAGGACGGAGATGGTATACACGTACTCCACGCCCGGAGTCAGGCCAGACACAACAATGCTTCCCGAGTCTGAAGTCACTTCTCGTGGGGCTTCCCCTCCCTGGCTTGGTCGTACACCCAGCTAAAGGAAGGAAAGCAAAATAAACACCAAGGACAAATATTTCCAGAGCTGGGTGACTGCCGAGGGGCTGTGGTTACGCGTCGTAGAACGTGAAAAACTCCTCGGGAAGTGCACAGTGTGCTTTTCAACTGGGGAATGAGTCGGGGCCTTACTTTTGCTCTGTTTGATACTTTAGCTGGAGATTCTCTGTCCTGAGGGGTTGGGGCAGGGGAGGTGTCTTCCCAAACCACACAAAGGTGGTGGCAATGAAAGCTTCCAGGGAAATGTCATCACCTACTATTTTGCTTGATAAATCATCCCCCGCTACAAACCATAACTACACAGCAGCTTACAGCCACATGGAAGTTCATTACTATTTTCTTTCCACCGGAAGAAGTCCCCTAGCTCGCTCTTTAATGAGTTATTAATATTCAGTTCACTTCTTAGTTGCCATTTAGGGTTCTAGCCTCTGTAACACTCTGTACTACAAAAATACTACTTTGGAAGAAGTATGTCCGTAGGTTCGACTGCAGGATAATAAATGAATGTGCCCATAATTTGAAGTCTTTTTAAGTTTCTTTCAAAAACCTAAGTAATACTGTGTCATCGATGTTCAACTCTGTCGACATCCTTTGTACGTTATAAGGCTTCTGGAAGTCAGAATGACACTATTAAGGAAAATATAAAAGGTATGCTAGCCTGATCATCAATACGACCATTTGCATACCTCAATGACGTGAACTTCAGTGTATTTTTCTAATCATGGGAATTTCATTTTGATTTCCAATATTTCTCTATACATAGAGAAAAAATTCTTTTAAACATTCATTTGTGTTCATTGCTCCCTTAATATCATCACTTTAAAGGACATGATATATATCTATAGGAAAGATCTTAATCTTAACTTCTATAAGGGGTGGCCCCATGGGGGTTTTGAATGACTTTCATAAGGGGTGAAATCAAAAGGATAAAAATGTGACTTTTAAGTGACTGAGTTCAATCTGTCTCCCCAAAAGGGCTTTCATGAACTTGTTGACACTCAATTCTAAATGAACAACACATCAAATGGGGTTTCCTTCATATTTTTAAATGCAGTTCCCTTGGGGAAAGGATGGGGAAATTCAGATAACGACAGCTAACAGTTCCACGCCTATGTTTTAGCCTTTGCAAAGCACTTCCATCCCCTTTGACCATCCTTCCAGCCACTCAGAGAAGCAGAAGTACTGTTCTGCCCTGACACTATGATCGGAGAGGTAGGAACAGGAGCAGGCAACACCATCTAGATCCCAGACTTCTGAATGCCTTGTTCCTAGATTGTCCAGAAAGGTGAGGGCAGCTCAGGGCCATATTGCAAGATGTTAGGAACACCTGCGACTTACCTTAAAACCGATCCTCGGAGCAGGCGTCCATGTAATCACAATGGTGGTCTCCGTCACCTCCGTGTTGTAAGGAGGAATGGAGCCCCCGGGCTGCTCTGTGAGATAGGATCAATGCACATGTCAAAACCTTGGCATCAAGACAGCTGCAGAGAACGCAGATAATGAGCGTTTTCATCAAGAACCTCAGCTTCCTCAGCTAGTGGACCCAGAATGCCACATATGTCCCTTCACGGGATGAGGATCCAGAGCAGGTCAGGGCTGCTCAGTCTTTCCTGTCCTACCCAAATCCCGTGACCCCGCTACAGTGCAAGTTAACGTCTTCTCACCCCACTTCAGGTTTGAGTTTACAGTGTGAGTATGTGAACCTGGTCATTGCCAACTAATTATCATTCTGCCTCGAAGTCATTAACTTGAGAACCATGTTAAATTTTAGACAATGACCTAAAATTAGCTTTATGCTGAATTACTTGATGATGGTGGTTATTTATTTTCAGTTGCAATAAGGGATGCCATATGAAAGTTAAACAAAATTGGCCATCATAGATATACTTATAAATTCTAAAAAAGTCTTTCCTGAAATATGAGAGTATTCATTCAGAACAGCAATACTACAGAAATTTAATATTTTGCCACTGGAATCAGGAATCATAACAAAAGTTTACTCTCATATTCTAGCATCCTGAACACCATCATTATTTCTCTTAGTGAAAATATTATTTTAAAAAATAATTTTTAAAAAAGCAGGTATACAGAAAGTTAGCACAGACATTTTCAATAATCCTACAAATCTTATTATAAATTTAGAATGCTTAAATATAATTGGCTGAGGGACTGAATCCTGTAGTAGGGAGAATAAGCATTTCAATCACTGGCTGCTGTGGGAAAGGCACGGTCTCAGAAGCCAGGGTATTTGAGTATGGTCATCAGATTCAAGGGCTTCGAGTGTGTCGATGGTCCTGGTCACATATTTGGGGCCTTCACAATTGCTTCCTCTTTACATCCCAACCAAATTCTGTGCCCTCTGGTGGGGGGCTATTAAATGTATTCATTGTAAATCATGAATGGCTGGTGAGACAAAGAATTGCCCTCCAGAGTTATATAAATGGGGACTGAAGTCTAAAGACTCCCGTTTCTACGCAGTCCAGTCAACTGTTTTGATTTTGTCGTGTGGGAATTCAGACCCAGTAGTGCGATTCTTTCTTTCTCTTCTCTCTTTCTTTTTTTCAAAAAATTTTTTGTCTGGTTTTAATGTGCAATTAAAATAAAATTTTTAAAATGTTGTATGGGGAAAAATAAAATGTGTGTGGGCCACTTTATAATGATTATTCTAATTGCTCACTACTGGTTTAGTGAGCTGTTTCCTAGATATGTTATTCTTGTAATGGCATTTGAGGGGAGGGGCCCTGGAAGGAGTGACCTGTGATGCCTTCTCAGTGTCCCCAAAATCTTACACCTCTTGGCTACTGCTGGAATTTGCCAAAGTGCCGAGGCCAGCCCCGTGTGACTATGTTAATGGCCACAAGAAACAATCCAGCAAGCCGTCCGCTTCTTTCACTGAACACATCTGTGAAAGCCCCAACTTTTTCAAGTTATTTTGTCCTCAATTGTCTTGGGCTTGAGGATTGGGTATTTTGCTATTGCTGGAGCCGGCCAGCCGGATCCTTCTCAAGTTTGAGATGAAGCTCCCTGCCTGGGAAGACCATTACAGGAAAACCTCCAAACCACAAACCCTCACACTGATGTCAAACAAAGGATGTGACTGTAAGTGTGAGCCACGGGTTCTGGCAGGTCTCGTCGGGGGAAGAGCGGCCTAGCTTAGCTGTTAGAGAAATAACATTTACCCGATTTATAAAGGAATACACTGAATTTCCCCCAGAAACAGCCACCACCCCATCGTTGCTATTAAGAATTTAGTACAAGTTACAAAACCCAGCAAAGGTATTCCCAGAATTCAGCCTAGTAAAACAGTGAAAAGCTACAGAAACTTAAAGTAATTTCCAAAATAGGCAAGCCCTGCTGAGGCTAATAGGCATAGCCTCAGACAGTACTGGATGTCCAACAAAAGTTGTAGAACTCCCTGCTAACACGGGTTTATTTAGATATAAGCTTGTTGGGGCTGTTTTCATTATCATTCTTTCCTCAGTTGATCATCTATAAAGTATTGTTTTAAATATACTACGACGTGCGAGGCACTATGGTAACCTCTAGCTAGTGAAATCAGTTTTGATTATCAGCACTTTAATTCAAATACAGTTACATTTTATATAAATGTATTGTGCAGAGAATAAAAGAACATGCCCCATGTATCGAAGTCTCCCAATACTTAAAATAGCCCCTATCAGCCCACCTTGCTCCACTTAATGATTGTTAATATCATTAAAAATTATTTTTCTGCCCTGGCAGGTGTGGCTCAGTGGATTGAATGCTGGCCTGAGAACCAAAGGGTCACTGGTTCAATTCTCAGTCAGGGCACATGCCTGGGTTGTGGGTCAGGTACCCAGGTTGGGGCGTTCAAGACACAACCACATATTGATATTTCTCTCCTTCTCTTTCTTCCTTCCTTCCCCTCTGTCTAGAAAAAAATAATTAAAATCTTAAAAAAAAATTTTAAATTATTTTTCTCTTATGGGCACTCTATCCAACAAAAGAACCTACATAAAATATACCTTACATGTAGGAATAAAAAAGATAACTCCATATACCAATTTAAATGGAAGTAAATTTTTGGTAAATTATAAATTCTTATAGGGAAAAATTTATAGACAATTTCTTTGGGAAATAAATTCCATAGCTGTTTTTGAACTTATATTCACTTTTTGAATGCTTTTTAACATTTATATTTTTAGTCAGAGTAAGATTTGTTAAAGCTTTTAGAAAATTGTAAACTAGTTCATAGTTGTATGTGTGTGTGTGCTTGTGTGTGTGCATATATATATAGTAATATATAATATTATATATATATATGCTTAAAAAGTGTTATGTTAGGTGCTTCTGTAATCCAAAATGTCAAATTAAAAATAAATAATACCCAGCTAGAAATAAGAGGTCTCATAACTCTTTATAATGAGAATGAGAATGTATTTAGTAAAAGGCAGTTAACGAAGACAGGCTTTTATTGTGGTGTAGATATGTAAGAGATTTAAGGTCATTTCCTGTAAAATGTTGAGCAAAAGGACAGACATGACCAAAAATTATTGTCAGTAATTTCCTTCTGTGGAATTTCAAGAGAAATTTAAGAAAGGTTAAAATTTTTTTTAAAAGTTATTCTGTTCTGCTGCAGAATAACACTCATAAAGGAACCATTCCTCAGCTTCATGTTCTATTGGAGTCTGTTCAATCAATAAAGATTTTTATTCTGTACTTACTGCCATCATTCGACACCCAAGGTATTAGAATGTCAACAGAAGTGCTAATTTTTTCTTGTCTTAACTAGTATTTGGCGAATTCATTTAATATGATAGAATTTAATTTTTAAATAACTGGGTGCCTCAAACCATGATACTCAAAGAGTTAGTCCTGGAGCAAATACACAGCTTGGCAACATATGTAATTTAACGCACTGCTTCTTTCATCAAGAAAATTTTTGCTTCAAAAAATCATTAACTGGATTAAACAGTGTGCTTCCTGATTTACATTCTGGCACAAGCTCCTTATTGTCCAGTAACAAACAGCTCACGAACCACAGTATGAGATGCATACTTTTCAATCTTTAAAAAAAAATTTTGGCCCTGGCTGGCGTAGCTCAGTGGGTTGAGCGTGGGCTGAGAACCAAAGTGTCTCAGGTTCGATTCCCAGTCAGGGTACATGCCTGGGTTGCAGGCCATGACCCTCAGCAACCACACAGTGATGTTTCTCTATCTCCCTTTCTTCCCTCTCTAAAAATAAATAAATCTTTAAAAAAATTTTTTTAAACATTTCTTATTTAAATCCTATACTAAGTTTTTTAAGTTAACTTTTTAAAAAGTGGATGAAGACCAGAGAACATAAGTATAGGTAAGAACCAATGGAATGACTAAGAAAAGACATTGAACTTGGCTTACGAGTGGTGAAGACTCCAGTGGCCCTGGGGCTCTGCTGGTTGCCTTTCACAGCCACCAGGGTGGCAGTGTACTCGGACCCCGGCTGCAGATTCCTCAGCGGGTACTGTGAGGCAGAGGGCCCCACGTTGTACTGCTTGGGCTGGCCTCCCCGGGTCAGGCCCACGGTCAGCCGGTACCCAGCGATCCGGGCTCGAGGCGGAGTCCAGGTCACTATCACACTTGAGTCCGTTTCATTCATAAACTGGAGGTTTGTGGGAGCATCCAATTCTAGAGAATAGGATAAAACATATCAAGAAATTTTGAACCTCAGTAATTACCATACTGAAATTCTAAAGTCTGACTGAGTTTGCTCAAGTTTTCTCAAGGCTGAAATACTGCCCTGGCTGGCGTAGCTCAGTGGATTGAGCTCAGGCTATGAACCAAAGTGTCGCAGGTTCGATTCCCAGTCAGGGCACATGCCTGGGTTGCAGGCCATGACTCCCAGCAACCGCACATTAATGTCTCTCTCTCTCTCTTTCTCCCTCCCTTACCTCTCAAAAAAACAAAAAAAGGCTGAAATACTCTATGTCAAAACCTTGGAAACAGTGAGCCACGAAGAGATTGAGCACTACAGAGAACTTTGCAAAACTCTGTGTCAGTCATGAGAAATTGCTGACCTTTTTTGCTTGGTTATGATTCTGTGGAAAATCTAATTGTCCAGCATGCCTTTCTCATTATCCTCTTGGACGGTACTAACATTATAGAGGTGGCATTTTAAAAAAAACTTATAAATACCACAATTGACTCTGCTGAGCCAAGCAAGTTAAGAGAAGAGAAACAAGCCCACTAAAGTGAGGGCAAAAAGAAAGCTCCACATGGAGCAAAAACAGTACATTCCACATTTATTGAAAAATACTCTTGATGGAGAATTAAAAGTAATTTTCACATGACTCTGATTAGACAATAATTGTGAAATTAGATTATAATTATAACAATTATACTCAGAACTTTAGAATCATGGTAGGACACTGATGAAAAAAATCACATAAATTGTGCATTTTCTTCTTGAGTTTGATAACTAGCAGTTACCCTGCAGTAATTTAAAATACTTCTGAGAGACAGAAAATGTTTGCGAAGTAGTTAAGTGTAATAACTGAAAACATGAACTTGGGAGTCAAGAAGACTCCCAACGTGCCCAGCTCCATCACTTCCTAGACCGGTGAATTTACAAGCTGCAGACTTTTTTTATAAGCCTCAGTTTCTTCATGTACCCAAACAGAACAACAGTAAGACATTCCGCATTAGGTCAACAGGAGGATTAAATATGAGGATAATGCTCACAAAGCACTGGGCAGAGGACCTAGAGCTTAGCCGTTACTACTTGTAAATATTTCTACTATAAAAGTGTTAGGAACTTATACCTGAAGTTTGATCTAGATACGTGTATTTACACAAAAAATGCACTCAAATTTTCTGTCTGTGCCTCCATTAGCAAGGAAAATTAGGTTCTCTTAAATTTCCCTCTCTTAGTGTCATTTCACCCATACATGTGTTCGGGGAAAGGGTTAGTATTTAGCACCCATGTCTGAGTTTTGTTTCCAGGTTCACATGCTTTACATCCACTGTGCTGTCCCTTACTGGCCGAGTATTTTCCTCTTTCTACCTGTAGACCCAGGAGTGAATGGTGGACTGCACACGTGTCCCTGCTTGGCAGCGAGGGTGGAGAAGTGGGGGGGACGTGCGGGCGGGAGCGGGACTTACTGGTGGTCTGTTCTCCTACTAGAGGTCTGCTCTCCCTCCCCTGGTTCACGGCAAAGACCTTGAAGTGGTAAGTGACCCCCGGGGACAGCCCCAAGACTTCCGCAAAGTTGTTCCTGCTGATGGGCAGCCGCTGCCCGTGCTCTCCGGGCAGGTTGACAGGGATCACGTCCACGCGGTAACCGGTCACGGCACTCTCCGGGGCTGTCCACATGATGGTGATCTTCACATCTGTCACTTCCACAAACTGCAGGTCCCGGGGAGGGGGGACTTTATCTGATAGACAAGAGCCAACTGGTCATTCACCATGCCTGCTGAAGATTGTTCTTAAAAAGCCAGTCTCCTGAGTTGTCTAAGGCAATTCACAGAGCCTCCCACTCCAGAGCAAGACTAGGTTTCATCCCTTCACCAGACAGTAGGCTTCTTGGCTTATTTTCATGGGTCAGTCCTACAGCGTATGACATAAGACATCTGAAGGTTTTATTTAAAATACGTAGGGAAGCAGATGACGTTCCAACACATGAAGTGTCCTACTGAACAGTTTAAAATAAACATGCAAAAAGGCACTGAGGCCACAGAAAAATATGTGGTGACTTTTATTTTACTGAAATCATTTAATAATACTTAAGAGTAATAGATGAACTGACCCTTAAGTTTCTAGGGAAAAATATGAAGATTTTTATGGTGTTGGTTTTTCATCAGGAAAGCCAGTAACCAGCTTTGATGTTATTTTATAATGAGGACATTTCAGCCAAATTTCATAAATTCAAGGATAAACTAATCTATTAAATTATTAGCATACTGGAACTATTGACAGAGATAAAACAACTCCCCCACAGAGACAATTATTCTTTCTGCCTACACTTCTGGTCCTCCTCAGCAGGCTAAAGAATAAACACAATTCAAGGATTGTCTTGTTTCTCTAACACAGTGATTTTCAACCAATGTGCCACAAAAGCTTTTAGTATGCAATACCTGACTGTTTAGTCAGAAACTGACACAGGCAACTGACCAGTTTTCCCTTACCAGGAGTGTTAAACTCATTTTCACCGGGGGCCACATCAGCCTCGAGGTTGCCTTCAAAGGGCCGAATGTAATGTTAGGACTGTGTAAATGTAACTACTCCTTAACTAGGGGCAAGGAGCTCGGCGCTGCCACCGGGTAGAAACAAGGTGCCAGGCTGGATAAAATAAGGTGGGGGGCTGGATTCAGCCCACGGGACTTCTGTTTGCCACCTGTGACTTAGACTGTCAAATTAAAAAAAAAAATGACAACAGCCAACACAACAGGACCTATCTGGTGTGAATAAATAAAAATTATACCAGCCCTGGCTGGCGTAGCTTAGTGGATTGAGCGCAGGCTGTGAACCAAAGTGTCCCAGGTTCGATTCCCAGTCAGGGTACATGCCTGGGTTGCAGGCCATGACCCCCAGCAACTGCACACTGATGTCTCTCTCTCTCCCCCTTTCTTCCCTCTCTAAAAATAAATAAATAAAATCTTTAAAAAAATTATACCTATTTTTTGTCAGAATGGCAAAAAAAATAGTTTTTAGTGTGCTGCAGAATGTTAGTAATTAGTTTATGTGTGCCATGACATGAAAAAGGTTGAGATTTACCACTCTAACAAAATGAAGGTTAAAGCTGTTACTTGATTAAGCCCTGAGAGGTAAGATAGCATAGGAAGACTCTTTAAGCTCAGTCACCTGGACGAGGGACACCGGTGGTTTCCTGCTGGATGAAAACAGGAGTGCTTTCTTGGTTCTCTTCCACTGCGTAGATAGTGATGTTATACTGAACACCGGGTTGCAGGTCGCTGAGGGTGACAGAGTTGGCAGTTTCGGGAAGGTTGAGCTCTGTGCTACTCCCTTCGACTGATGGTGAGTACACAATTCTGTATCCTGCAGATTCAGGAAGAAAAAAGTGAGGGACGCTGTTTTATGAAACAGAGGCATAAAAAAGCATCCGTACACCTCAGCATCTTGCTCCAGTCATTAAGAAGTAGTGATTCTTGAAAAGTTGACTTTTTTGATGCTGCCACTTCTTTTAAGGAGTATTCAGTACAGAGATGAGCTAAGAACAGCCATGCAAACTGTTTTGATAGTAAATATTATTCCTGAAGACCCGAGATCCTTAATACACGCCTGTTAGAGAAGCCATGAGGTGAAAATAAATACCCATGTGAAACCGGGACCTCCTCTTTGAGCTCCACCTGCAGGAAGAGACCCACCGGCCACCCAGAGCACGCGGCTGCTGAGCACCGTCTGCTTTCCAGGAACCCCAGAGACAGTGGAGTCACCAACGAGCTCCATACGGAAGCGACTCAGCTTCCTCTTTTAGAATTAATCTTAGCGTGAGATTTTTCAGAAAAATTATCCCCTTTCTACTACAGGAGCACCTGATTCAATAAGTCAATGAACTAGCTTTAGAGAGTTTGTGTGTGTAAGAGCTGATAAAATGGATTTGAGGGGGAAATGATCCGTATGAAAGCAGAGCTGTAAGACATGAAAATAATAACATTCTGAATTACTATCTCTCCCCCCTCCCTCTCCCACACATACACTCCCCCACACACACACACACACACACACACACACACACACACCCTTCTCTTCCCTAGACTAGCACTTATGTAGGAGAGCTGAGTGATACGCCAGTCCTCGGATCAGAATCTGCTCCCTCACCTCCTGGGCCACCAAGATTAGCAAGGCAGCCAAGAAGAGAAAGCCAAGCTGACCTGTGATGGGGGCCTGGGGTCGGCTCCAGTGGACAACTATTGAGGTGTCATCAACTTGGCCCACAGTAGGATTAGGAGGGGCATCGGGTGCTAACAAAGAAAAAAACAAACAAGGAAAACAGTCAGAAAATACTACTGTTTTATAGCAGCAGCAACAACAACAACAACAAAAGATTATTTGATGCCGGGCAGTACACATGTACCTGTTGTCTGAGAAGTGGACAGGATCAGGCTCCGCTCCCCTTCTTCAGATATCTGGTAGACATTTACGATGTATTTTCGGCCAGGCAGCAGGTCAGGAATGTTCACAGAAGTGGCTGTGCTTGGAAGATCTTGGAAATAAAAAGGGAAGGTTACTAACCTGAAATACCAATCCCTCAAACAACTTCAAAGCCTCTGATAAGAAGATTTAAAAAACTCTGTATTCACGTAGGGTAGGAAGAAGACTGGAAGGAAATGTACGAATGGATGCTCAATAATTATCAATGTGCAATGGGATAGTTTTTCTTTCTATTTCTCATTTTGCAAATTTGTTCTCTAAAAATGCATAATTTTTGAAATCCACCTCTAACTTTGTAACCCAAGTCTTCTTGTAAACATCATTCTTACATAGTCCATTGTAAACAAAGTAACTGGGAGCCAGAGCGGTGGTTATGGGTAGGGGGTGATGGGGAGTATGGTAGTAAGGATGTTCTTTTTCTTGATCTGGGTGCCAGGCAGGTGGGTGTATTCACTTTATAGAAATTCACTGGGTGCCTGGCTGCTGTGGCTCAGGAGATTGAGAGCCAGCCTACCAATCAAAGGGTTGCCAGTTCGATTCCCAGTCTAAGGCACATGCTTGGGTTACAGGCCAGGTCCCCAGTAGGGGGCATGCAAGGGGCAACTACACATTGATGTTTCTCTCCCTTCCTTTCTTTCTCCCTTCCCCTCTCTGTGAAAATAAATAAATAAAATCTTCAAGAAAAATTCACCAAGCCCTGGCTGGTGTAGCTCAGTGGATTGAGTGCGGGCTGTGAACAAAAGGGTCACCGGTTTGATTCCCAGTCAGGGCACATGTTTGGGTTGGGGCCAGGTCCCCGGGAGGGGGTACGCGAAAAGCAAACACACACTGATGTTTCTCTCCCTCTCTTTCTCCTTCCTTTCCCCTCTCTCTAAAAATAAATACATAAAATCTTTAAAAATAAAAAAACAAAAATAAATTCACTGAGCTCTATATTCATGATTTGTGTGCTCTTCAATATGTAGACTATTCAACAATCAAGCTTTTAAAAGACCCCTAAACATGAGAATTTGGAAAGCACATAGGAGGCTGCTCTGTACCCCCAACACTAATATTTTCTATAGCAGTATTCACCCTGGTGATAACTACCATCAAGAAAACACTTCCGCCCTGGCTGGCGTAGCTCAGTGGATGGAGCGCGGGCTGGGAACCAAAGTGTCCCAGGTTCGATTCCCAGCCAGGGTACATTCCTGGGTTGCAGGCCATAACCCCCAGCAACCGCACATTGATGTTTCTCTCTCTCTCTATCTCCCTCCCTTCCCTCTCTAAAAAATAAATAAATAAAATATTAAAAAAAAAAAAAAGAAGAAAACACTTCCATTGTATGGGCCTGTGCCTGGGCAAACACATCAGGGACCAGGAGAATGTGGACATGGCTCAGGAAAAACCTAGTTCAGTTCTAGAGATGGTCAGTCATTTCCCTTTCTCATACCAGAAAGTACTTTGTTCACAACGAGCTGCCAGCTAGCTCCAAAGCTCACAGACCACCCGCCTGAATGCCAGGACCTCCCAGCCCCAACGCGACAACACACTTAGCTCACCGAGGTACTGAGGCTCATCCCCTTCTTCGCTCAGCTCATACTCCACACGGAATCCTGACACCGTGTCCGAGGCGGAGACCCAGGAGACCACAAAGCTACTGGCCGTGATCTCAGTCACAGATTCAGAAGTGGCCACCACAGGAGAATAGGGTGTTGTCTCTCCCATTACTGTGTTGCCTGGAGAGTCACAGAAAGGGGAAAGAGAGCCTTCAGCCATCAAGAAAATGTACTATCGTCGGTAGAATGTAAGTTTTTTTAAAAAAAAATAAATGTGGGTGTCATCCATGGAAGACTGGGAATCAAGAAGTAAAGCTCTTCCTGAGGAAAGACCAGCTCTGAGAAACTGGGGCGCAGACAGGATGGCGGGGTACGTACTGCTCACTGCTGGGTTCGTGCTGGTGGTGGTGAAGTCGAAGCGGGTCACCTCTTTGTGGCCATACTGCTGGACACTTATGAGCTGCCCCTCATACACCACATTTGGCCTCAGGCCCTTAATGGTATATGAGTTTAAGTGGCCTGGAATGGTGGCTTCCTTCCAATTGGGCGAGTTTTTCTAAAAATTAAAATGAAAAAACAAATCACACGAGTGTTTGCAACAGAGAGCATTCAGAGGCAAAGTGGTATAATCTTCAAAGAATGAGGGGACCTTTGCATTTTCGTTGTGGAGGGAAATCATGGAAAGTTGCAATCAGGATATGGACCTGTGGCAGGGTCTGTTAATATTGAGGATAATTATTTTTATAGCTAATATTTACTGATAGCTTACAATGTACTAAGTTCTGTGCTATTTCACTTGCACTCTCCCACTTCATCTTCAGCTCCCCTCCTTCAAGCTAATGATAGAATTGACCTTGTTTTGCAAGTGTACAAACAGTTCTGTGGCTTGCCCAAGGTTACACAGTCACAGGTGCTAAGCACCTCCCTTCTTGCCGGATGAATTATTGACTATCGCTACCATGATATGATGGACCCGAGTTTTGCCTCTCCTAACTTTTTCATTTCTGCAAGTAACAGATGATATATATATATATATATATATATATATATATATATATATATATCTATATATATATATATCTCCCTCTCTGAAGTGGGGAAAGCCATACATTCTGTTGTTCCCTTGATGGGTTACAATTCAAGTTGCTGAACTTGCAGAAACAGCCAAAGACATAATATTGCTTCATGAGTCAGTTCCTAGTTCCTGTGAAGACTCATTCTTCGATGTAAACTACCCCACAGAAGTGGTTACCAACTGTGGGCAAGACCGCAGGAGAATGTGATTTTGGTTTATTTACTCTTTGCCAGCACTTTGCATTTCGCATCCTGTCCGACTTCACTCATGTGTCATAGACCACACAACTCACTGCAATAAAGCACGTGGAAAAGAAATGCCCTTACTTCATTCAGACCAGAGGAGATCCCTTTAAGTAGTAAATATTCTAGACTAATATAAGTCAAAACACATTTTTAAGACCATTGATTCTTTTAAAATATCCAGCCCACCAGTTTCAATAATTCAAATATTTTGGTGTCCATTTATATTTTTGGAGTAAATGAAAGTGGTGCTGTCACTTTTTTAAAATTTTTTAATTTTAAATTTTAAAATTTAAAATTTTAACTCAAATACACTGTGCACAAAATTAAAATTAATCAATACAATTAGCTCAGGTTTCTTTCATTCACTGTGAACTTTTTTTGGTTGGCTATCAAAATACTAGAAACTCAACTCTTAGGTGACAGACCTTAAAGACAAACCTGAAAAACGACTTTGAGAGTGGATGACTATTTAACATTTGCAAATATTATAAATGGCAGAAATAAGCTGTAAATGACAGCATGTCCTTGGGGCTGGGAGAAGAGACCCAGGTCAGATGTGTCAGCAAACCTGGAATTTTTTAATCGTTAAAAATCTAAAAGAAATTCATTATTGCTGCACTTTGAAGACATTACAATTTAATGTATGTTTTATACCTACCTGTAAATGTCTCTTATTACAGTGGTCTCACATAATACTTCAGGATTAAGTTTACAGCAAATAAAACCAGTGATGAGATGAAAAGGTGAGAGACAAGACGGTATTATAGAAAGAAGAATACATTGATGCCATTGACTGACATTGTTAGATACCAAGTTCTACAAATGGCTCTTTTCAAGCAAGAAGAAAGAAGAAAAAGAATGATTACAACAGTCTGAGTTTTTTTCTGGAGAGCTTAAAATACAACTGCATGAGTTGGTCAAATGGTTTATTTCATATATTTTTTAATTGCTAGAATTCAATAGTTGTGATTAAAAAGGACATTTTTCTCCAGTGTTTAAAATAGTGTTTCTCAAACTCTGAGTCAAGAATTTTGGAGACCTTAGCAGGGCAAGTGTGAGAGGGTAAGAGAAACCAAAGCCTGACGGATCAACATCCTGCTGGTTGTGATTCTTCAACTTCGAGACAGTTCTTGTGAGAAAATTACAATTCATTCTTTAAATAAACAATCATCCCTTATCTATACTCTCTTCTCAGCATTTCTTTCCCTTCTATCTAAATAACTGCAGAGGATCAAAAGCCGGTTTTTAAGAAATGACCACTTATAAAGTAAGCAAAAAGAAAGAAATATTAATTTAGCTACATTTTTCCCAAATGATGAAAATGATGCCAACAATTTTTTTTCCTTTGATGGAGTTATAAAACATATGCAAACTTTAGCTTCTTTTCCTATATGGGGGAAGAGTCATTTTAAGCATTGTCATTTCTAAGTCCTTGCTAAGATCTTTCTAACATAAAGAACTAAATTTTTCTATATACCATAAAAAGCTAAGTTTGTATGTCAATTGATTGGTCACCTTGTTTTGTCATTAAATAAATATTAATGTTATAAGGATAATTCATCCCATCTACTGGGTCAAAAAATGAAAGAAAAATTTGAGAACGTGTTAATTTCGGGAGACTCCGTGGCCGGTCTCCGGGTGGCATACTTACAGGCTTCCACCTGAGGATGTACTTGGTAATGTGGGAGGGCTCTGGTGCGTTCCACTGGATGGGGTGAGAGTTGGGGTGGCCGGGGGTCTCCGTGATGAAGACTTGGACGGGACCGGAGGTGCCTGTGAATGACAGTGGGAGAGATGCTTCTCCTGAGTATTCACTCACTTCAACTGGAGATTCACTGCACCCGGATGGCCATCATCAAAGGCAGTTTTGCTTATTAGTAAATGTGAATATAATAAGAATTTTCTGGAATCAGGCTTTTACATATGGACATTGGAAATCAGTGCAACACATCCTTTTTTTAGCTGATAGATTATTGTTTATCCTGAGAACTGCCAATAGAACTTTTACATTTTTTAAAAAGTAAAATAAATACATTTTTTAAAAAATGCCTCTTAGCTTACTTTCTTCTCCATTTTCAAAGTAAGAATTATAAGAAAATGTGAGACTATCATAACACAAATAATGTAATATTGACTATACATTTCATTTACTTATTATATTTAGCTTCTTTGAAGCAAATTGTGGTTTGGGGAAGCTTGCATCAGGAATGAATCTACCACCTAAGAAGAAAACAACATTCCAAAGGCCACATGACATGATGTAAAACAAATATATTTCTAAGTAGGGTGGACTCTTAGACAAATAGACATGAGTGTTAGTTAAAGACAGTTTTATTTCTCATCAGTTTAAGCATCTTATCATTTTTGGGGAAAATGTTACTTTATTTTTGTACAGTAAGTTTACTCTAAAATCATACTATATTTAGTCAAGTTATTATTTTTTATTGATTTTGACAGAGAGAAAGAGAAAGACTGAGGGGGAGAGAGAGAGAGAGAGAGAGAGAGGGGTACTGATTTGTTGTTCCACTTATTTATATATTCATTGGTTGATTCTTGCATGTGTCCTGACCCTGACTGGGGATTGAACCTGCAACCTTGACTTACCAGTGTGATGGTCCAACCAACTGAGCTACCTGGCCAGGGCCCAGTCAAATTATTAAGAGAAATTTTTTTTTCTAAAGCAGTTATCAACTGAAATGACATTTTGCAGGATACATTAAATTTAGTATTTCCACATGTTGATATAAAGTATGGTTTTAGTTCTTTTAAAAAGAAAATAAGGTAAGTGGAATTACTTTCTTAATGGTGTAGACTCAATTCAGGATAATGAATAACTGAATAATTTATGCTAGCAGAACATAACACTATTTTTTTCCCTAAATACTGTCTTTTTATGTCAATCAACATTCAACTTACTAGAAATAAAAATAAAGTTTCTTATAATAACCTTTTCAAGAATTTCTAACTGGAACTCTGTCAAACACAGCAAAATTTTGTGTGTTTAAAAAAACACTCATGAGATTAACAGATTTAGGTTTTCTGAAAGCTCTTAGAAAATGCTATATTGATTTTCAAACTCATTATCTTTGCTGTTAAATTCTCTTTGAAAATAAAGTTTTCTCTAGCAGAAAAAGTATATAATTTGCAAAGCTGTGTAGATACAAAAGTTCTAGAATAATACATTCATTTTCACACTGGGAATAATTCAAGTTGATTGAAGACTGGCAAATACTTTTTGAATCTTGTATTCATTTAATGTAACTATTTCTAAGCCACATGATTTCCAAAATTCATATACAAAATTCTAATTTTTCCATTCTAAAGTGGCACATATTTCCCAGAACACGGCAGGATGTTTGTTTTATTCAGTTGACAGAAGTCAATGCCATGACCCTCTTTCAGCTACCCTTTCTGTTCATGAAGCTTCTCACAAACAGATAAGTTCTTAAAGGTAAACACTGAGCGCTGGCTGGTGTGGCTCAGCTGGTTGGAGCATCATCCTACAAACCAAAAGGTCACAGGTTTGGTTCCCTGTCAGGGCACATGCGTTGGTTGCAGGTTAGGTCCCAGTAGGGGTATGTACAGGAGGCAACTAATCAATGTTCTCTCCCCCTCTATCTCTCCCTCCGTTTCCCTCTCTCTAAAATCAATAAGCATGTCCTCAGATGAAGATAAAAATAAAATAAAAAAAACACTGAAGCAAAATTTCAGAGATGTAATGATTTAAAGTGCTACTTCCATGTAAATCAGTCAATATAGGAATCGTGTCCTTTAATTATTTACAACAATTGGCATACGGTTGTTTGAATATTGATCCTTTAAAGAAACCCTACTATAATTTCCCCAGATAAAGAGATACCTGGTTTACTTAGTTTAACTGTTTTACTTAGTTTGGTGATCAATCATAATTTTGAGGGCCAAAACTTATGATGCCATAGAATATACAACACCAACAATGATCCCTAATGTAAACCACGGACTCCGGGTGACAGTGGTGCTTCCGTGTAAGCCTACACTCACTGTGGTAAATGCACCCTTCTGGTGACGGTATCGGTAGGCTGCGCATGTGTGGAGGCAGGAAGTTTAGGAAAAATCTTCCTTTCAATTTTGCTGTGAACCTAACACGCCCCTAAGAAAAACAGTCTTTAATTTAAAGAAGCTTATGATGGTTAAATGTCTATTAAAACAAACTTTTAGAAAGGCAACACAAATGACCTTGACTGCCCACCTTGATGCCCAATCATGCTTCTGTGGCTACCAAGAGGACAAGAAAGTGATGGAGCAAACCTACAGAAGTTTCTTTTCTTTCCCAAACGTCAAGCCCCGGTTTGAAGGGGCTTGACATCTATGTTCTCGATGTGAGGCCTGGGCCAGGGCTCCCCTGTGAGAGGACTGCCTTGCACTGCACAGGGAGGGCACACGTCTGTCCAGGCAGTAGAGACTTCACTTGTCCAGTATTTGTAAGGTCAGTTAAATTCTGGCTACCGCTATGCTCTACCTTACTCCGCATATGACTGGAAAACTGAAAATCTGAAAATTCTGACACCATTTGCATTATTTGGATTTAAAATTTTGATCATCCTTCCAAAACTGGTGAGTTGGTAAAACTTTTTAAATTAACCTAAATGAACAATTACTCACTGTTGTGAAAACTTTGTTCCCTCTCTTCCTCAATATGATAAGGCTGACAGTAAAATAGTTAAGTAAAGATATAATACAAGTGTGTCCTTTAAAATTCAGTTAAAAGTAAAGTCAAAAAATGAATAGTTTCCAGTAAAGGTGACCCTGGAGAAGTTAAACATTTATGGGTTTGCAACTCCGTCCTTTTTTTCTCTATTTAGTTTGCTGAGCTCTGTGCCTTCCTAGTTGTCTATTGACAAACCAAATGCCTCTTATCTTCTGTTCGTTTGAACAACTCCACAAGGCCTCTGCTGGAGGGAGAGAGGAGCCAAGGCTCAGAGACCATCTGTCGGCAACCTGTTTACCCTGTCTCCCCCCCCCCACTCTTAGAACCCCATGTGCAAGGCGCAAATTACTGAGAAAACCAGACATACAGACAAGCCGTGTGCTGAGGAGAAACACCAGTCCCCTCTCCCCTACATCTCCTCTACGTTCCATAGGCTGGACTGTTAATCTTTCGAGAGACTAGGAACAAGATCAACATGTACGAGTCCAGCACAGAAGGATTCCCTCCCGTCTAAGTTTCCCCTCTGACACTTCCACGGAAATGCTTCCGGCCAGAGGCTACATGAACAAGCTTACTTCAAAAGACAGAAAAAAGTTCTCTCAAAATCAATGAGAAGAAAATCACTTTTAATAGATTGTCACACCACTCCAATAACAATCACCTACACAGAAACTAGAAAGCATGATCGCTTTCTATCCCTTGACTGCATAATTAAGACGAAAACCACAATTTTACTTTCTGAACATATGGTAATTCTGCAACCATAGTTTTAAGAATTACTAAATAAAAATTTTTTGAAAATGATTCTTATACCCAAATTCACCATGAAATACAATTTAGAGCCAGGTCAATCTGAGCTGGGAACCTGAGTAAAGCAAAGTAACCTTGGCAGGCCTGAGCCTGTCTAAGGCTTGAGGAGTGCAGGACCTCTTCAAAGGTCATGGGAAGAGTGTACCCGGGAGGGTGGTATTCAGGATCAAATCATCAGCTGTTAGGGCTGGAAGGAACTTGAACAGTAAGCTGCTACAATCTCCCCATTTTACAGATGAAGAAACAGTGAGTGAAGCTTCAGGTGCATCTCTTTAGAAGCAGAGACAGAGCTGGAAGCCACGCCTCCCTGAATTCTGCCTTTGGCCAAATTGTTTCATACCTTGTTATCTGGGATAGCGAATTTCTGTCCCAGGCAGATTCTGAGGACCTGATAAATCTCTCTTTTTATTTCTGAATGTAGGTCATGTTTTCAGTCTAAACTTAACGGAAGCCTAGGAGGCCTTGTACTTCAGTAGTTGCTGAAATAATTGATGCCTAAAAATTAGACTTTTATAATTCAATACTTTTTTTATAATTAATCACCCAGTGAAACTTAAATTCAATTTTTAAAAAATAAATTAATAAAACCACGACTCACTCATTTTAATTATGCCCTGTGACCTGAAAAAGCCCCAGCAATAAACATTTCAGAGTGTTTGAACTGTGTGGGTGGAGAACTGACCAGTTACTCAATTATCGACCCAGAGTACTTTGTTCCCCACACCAATTGATCAAACAAATGAAAATTTTGATGAAAAAGGAGCCTAGAGGGAAAAGGGAATGAACACGTACCCTCTATTGTATTCCATGTAATTTCTCTATACAACTTCTCTGCTAAGAACCACAACACGGAACTCTGACCCTTTGCTCTCAGCATAGCTCACTCTGTGGTTTCTGTCCCCAGGTGTGGATGTGAGATGAAACCAGCCAGTGTTTCAACTTAATGGAATGTTCTAAGAAACAAATCACATTCAAGCACTTTTTCACAGCCTTCCACACCTTTTACTTGATTGAGGAGAAAGGAAAATGCTTTTAAGTCAAAAATTTAATTGATTTTTAGATGGTGATAGAAGAGAAAGATGGTAATGAAGGGCATTCCAACTTAGGCATCCGAGTATTAGGGACCAGGCATCGATGCTGCCCTTCCTGTGTTCCTAAGCTCGTCTATAATTCTCAGTTGGCAAGAATAGAGCTACTTACCTGGATAGGTCTGTAAGGGCTGGCAGTGCCACTCCCCAATGCCACGGCCATAGCAGTAGCACTGGTACCTGACGCCATGCACGTACTTCTCCCAGGAGTCTCCAATTTGATAAAACGTTCGAGTCTCTGAATCTTGGCATTGGTCTAAAATATATACAAGTAAAGGTTAAGCAGCCTCAAAGACTTAAAGCTACAAATGTAATTTCAGGGTGCTAGAGCATTCATTCTTAGTTTTAACAGAAACTTACAACTGTCCTTACAAATATATGCAGTTAAAAAACGATTTTGTTCAAATATTCTACTGTACAGAACAATGAGTAGTAAAAAAAAATGCATCAGGAGGAATATTTAGTTTTCCAAAAGAACAATATTTCTAAATAAAACTTTTAAGATTTAGATTCAGTATATATTGATATGCTGAATATTAATTTGAGAAAATAAAGTGCCATAGTTTACCCATATTATAACGGTTTTACCATTTGAATAACAAAGACAAAATATCACTTTATATGCTTTCTTCAAAATTTGACAAATTTAATTTTATATGCAAATAAATGAGCTAGAGTTTCATTGTGAATACATGCTGAGCGGTTTCTAAGAAACCTGTCAGGCTTCTCTCTCAGCTTTGGCAATCTCAGGTCAAACAAACCCGAGTATCTGATCAGTTTGTTTTCTTAGTGAGCAACCTGTCTCTCTTTTAGTAAAGGATCATTAATGGGTTACCTTAAAGCTGGTAACACAGCTCTGTTGAGGCTCAACCTTCACTGTTTGCTTAGATCTATTGTAGAGGGCAACCAAGAACAATAAAGTATTTGGAGGGAGGTATTTACTGGCATCATCATTTGCTCGAGTTATTGCACAGTCAGCAGAGGAAAGTTCTCTTGCATGACACGGACTATCGGCATGATTCAGAACCCAAGAACAAATTACATTTAATGAAAAAAAAACTGTATTTATCACCAAATTTAGTGAAAATAGATGACTGCCAATATCAAGATTATATATGGGTCCGTGATTAGAGGAAAGACTTTGCAAAGCTCTTTGATGAATGTCTCAATCCAACTTCGATCATGTAACATCAAACAGCTCTCCTTATTTGAAATTCGCTAACTATTCTCAGTGGCCAAATCCATCTGGAGGGGCATGACTACTTACCAATGGGATCGCACTTCCATCTACCCCGGCCCTGGCCGAAGCAGGTACAATTCAGCATGTGTCCCTCTTCATGGCGCTTGTGAAATGTGTCGTTCACATTGTAAGTAATGTCATCGACAATGCACTGATCTATTTAGGAAACAGTGGGATGCGTGGAGAACTTTTGAAACAAAACAAACAAACAAAAAAACCCTATGCTTTTCAAAACACACAGTTCCTTCCACTAAATTATCAAGACCTCCCATTAAAATAGCTTTTCTAGCCCTGGCTGGTATTGCTCAGTGGATTGAGTGCTGGCCTGGGAACCAAAGGGTTGTAGGTTCAATTCCAAGTCAGGGCACATGCCTGGGTTGCAGGCCAGATCCACAGTAAGAGGCACACGAGAGGCAACCACACATTGCTGTTTCTCTCCCTCTTTCTCCTTCCCGTCTAACAATAAATAAAATGTTTAAAAATAAAATAAAATAACTTTTCTACTGCCATAGAATAAACATCTTTAAACTCAGTAATACAACTTCTGCACTCACAAAAAGTCTCTCTCTTATAAAATTGTAAATGATGGTCAAAGTAGCTACCACTGAAGAATGTGGTAAAATACACCTTTTTGTGGAAAGGCAATTTTTGAACAAATATGTGTTTTACTTTCAGAAAAGTTCTAGCTTAGTTGAGAATGTCCTTTAAATCTCTGCTTGTTACAATAAATGGAAGGAAGATTAAACATACTCATATACAGCAGCCAGTACGGTATAATGGTCTGATATCTGGAATGGTGGGGGTGGGGAGATAGTGGGATTTGGGAAATAAAAATGATATCTACAGCATTCATAAAGTTAAAAAAAATAATGCAAACTCTGTTCCCTGAGAGGTCCTGAGAAAATCACTGTCTGTCTTTGGACTTCAGCTCCTTCCTCTGTTAATGAGGAGTCAGTTTGCATTCCTTCCTACTCGGGTCCCTTTCACTGCAGCATCGTATGCAATTCTCATTGCTCCTGGGACATGGTTCCCATTAAAAGCACAAGTATGTCTTCTAAAAAAAGTGAACCAATTCAGGCCAGCGACAGCACACCAGCTTCCATGGATTATTTATTAGCTCAGAGTTCTACTTATATTTTAATTTTCAAATGAAGCAAATAGAAAAATGAAAAGAGATTTAATAAATCAATATCCCTATATTCTATACCTGGGTCTAAAGGGGAACACTGATCTGGACAGAACAAACTGGCCTCTCTGTGTATGTGTCTCCTTGAATCTGGATCTGCAAGGGTCTGATTTCAGAAGAGCAAAGTCTCTTTCCTTCACAGAAGTCACTCAGACTTTTCTAGACAAGAATCCGATGGCACAGCTAAATACTAAAGGATCAAATGAGGGTGTTCTAGCCTTTGAAGTCATCGTTTTGGCTCAGCCCACGTTTCACATCCTGGAAATATTTTACAACCATTGAATGGCTGTGCCAGCTTTTCTTGACTGGCTGTCTGACATGTGAAACTCATCCAGCACAGTAGACTCCATGGAACAGTATTGCATGTTTTCTCCTACTTCTGGGTAAGTACAAGTTTTCACATCAAAGTCGCCCTCTCTGTGCCCTTCGTCCTCTCAAATGTTTTCAGGCATCAGCAAGCATACCTCGGAGCCGGGAGTAGGCGACACAGGTCCATTCCCCACGGCCATTCCCCACACATGTGCACCTCATCATGTGGCCCATGTCATGCTGTTTATCCCACTGGTCTCCAATGCGATACATGACCCCTTCTTTGGTTGTACAGATTTCTTCATGGGCTGTTTAGAAATAGATGGGAAACACACGCTTGATAAAAAATGGACATAAGGTCGTGAAAGGTAGGCAGAATTATCAGTCCAGTTTGGTATCCTAAGAACTCTCACTTGGAAAGAATCTCATGTGCCTCAAAGAAATCTCAGGGCTGCTCTGTAGATGAACAGTCTTGAGCCCCAGGGAGGCAAGCATAGTTCAGAGATAAGGTATGTTATAGGAAGTAATCACAGCAAAGGTTAGGGGATGGCAAACCACGATGATACCTTCACATTCACACAAAGGGTCTGCATTATTCTAGATGTCTGGATTTGACTACTGTTCCAGTTTATTCTAACTCAAAGGGAAGCTATGGGTATAGAACTGTAAGCTCCAGTGTGGGTATAGGATAGAACTGTAAGCTCCAGTGTGTTTTTCTTCTAAATGCAACATTCTCTTTGGTTGAAACGAAAAAAAAAAAAAACAAAAGCAAGCCTAAGTTGTTTTTTCCTTATGTTTTGTTGCCTCATAATCCCACTTGACAATACAGTGTACAGGCTCTTGATTCTACAACTGGAAAATCAGATGTAGTTACGAGGTTCTTGAGATTTGAAAACAAATCAAAAGGTATTGGGTCCCCTTTCTCCATTCATGCAAACTAGGGCCCTCCCCCGTCTTTCAGAGAAAGATCCCTTACTTGCCAGGAACCACAGTTTTTGTCACTTTGGTATTTAATAAGTGATAGACCTTATGCCAGTGAATCCAAAATTATGTGTAGATATTGTAGGTCTGTGGCTATCACAGGCAGTTACATCTGAAATGTTTTAAGCTACTCAGTTGTGCGTTCTTTACAAAAGACACATTTGTGCAAAATTTAAATGTCCCAACATTTTAAAGTCTTTTTTACTCCATTTATATTTTGGGATTCTAAATCATACCAATGGGTTTTTTAAATTTTACAAATAACTATATAATTCATATATGTGTATTATATCACCAAGTTGTTTTATAATCTCAAAATTAAGTCTTAATGGGTCAAGTAGGAGTAAAGAGGACACCGTTCTGTCTCGCTCCATAAGGGCCTCATCTTACCAGCCATGGGGCAGAACCCAAACTTCTGGTCGGCGTCATAGTTCTGCGTGGTTCCGCACCATTTCATGTTGTCTCTCCTGCCCTCAGAAGTACAGTCAGTGTAGTTGTGGTTGTTGAATAGGAAGGGGAAGTGGCACAAGGCGCCATTGGAATTTCCACCTCGAGTTTGAATCAACACTGCCCAGAACAATACACAAATAGGAAGAAAAACGTTACCACTGAGCTTTCCAGCGCACAGCAGGGAATGACTACGGAAAGGTTCTGAGAGAGCCAGCCTTCTGCAGCTCATGCACGGTCTGTCTCAGAATAAAAGATGTCTGATAATATAGTTCTAAGCTTCCTTAGCGTGTTCACCTTCATTTTCACTCTCATTTTTCCCATTAAGAAAAAAAGCAAATGGTCACTTTGAAAACACATAGTTGCAACCAGAAGAGAAGCAAAAACAGTCATCTGTCCTCTGTATTCTTCAGCCCATGGGATTACATGCTGGTTTTAACATGCAAGTATCTTCAATCCCGTCATAACCCTGATGTGTCAGAAATAAACGAACTGGCAGCTTTTGCCCTTGGCGTCATTTTCCAAGAGGACTAGGGACCATGGAAGGATCTTCCACTGTTAAATTAGCACCATGTCTCTTGGGTCTGGACTACAGAAAAGTGATACTTCCTGTGCAACCTCAAGATTAATGGCTGGATTGCTGACTGATAAAAACAGGGCATGAGAAATGGGGTCTTTCTCACTGCTGGGTTGCCACCCCGGGGACACTCACCAGTATGGTCTGTACAGAAAGAATATTTCTGGTCTTGTTCATAATTGGACGTCGTGCTGCACCAGAGATGGCCATCCTGTCGCCCTTCGCTGGTGCAGGAGTAGAAAGTCCTGCCGTTGTAGGTGAATGGCAAGACACATGGCTCCCCGTTCGAATTGCCACCGTAAGTTTGCATTACAGCTACAAGCATAACCAAAAAGGTCTCGGTAAATAGAGCTGCATTTATGCCCCTGGTAACTGCTAATTTATACCTTAAACGGGAGACTGAGCTCGTACGACAAAGACAGATGATCATCTGGCTAATTTCAGCCAAAAATGCATTACTCAGGAAGTAGACAGAGCAACACTTTAAGTTTCTCTGCTGACATCCTTTACTACCACCTCTATTACCATGCCTCAGTTTCCCCACTTGTAAAGCTATATTAATACAGGTTAATTAAAGATGCTGCTCAAAGGATACTGGAGGAATATGCATGATTCTTTTAGTGGCCTAAGTATTAACACATGAGACTATTCTAGGGGAAAAGTCAAGTGCACCAATTATTATTGCTATAATTACTAACTACCACTTTTGCAGACCAGAAGAGAGGCATTAGGTTGTTAAAAGGTTACAAAGCTCCAGCAATTTGAGATTTGGAGTTTAAAATATGGATGATTCGTTATTCAGAAAGCAACGCTTCTGTAACAACACTTTAGACAAATAAAGATAATCCAGAGCAGTTTAATTTTCACTACGGAAAAGAAAATACATAGATTAAAAAGAGTGGAAGAAAACATCAAATGTCAATCCTGGCTGTTATCGCTAGGGATGAAATTATAACCTTTTCATGTTTGTTTTATTGTCTTAAACTTTTTGGTAAATTAATGTATTGCCTTTCAAAAACGAAATAAAACAGTACCACTGTTTTATACAAAAGGTATCAGTTCTACTTTTTTAAAAAGATAATGCATACCTGTCTCTTGGCAGCTGACTCCATTGCCCAGGCAAGTGCAAAGCATCTGTTTATTGCCTTGTGTCTTCAGCCACTGCATCCCCACCGAGTAAATCACACCACTGTCTGTGATGCAGTGACCGTATGGAACAGACTGGGAGTTAGTCTGAGGCTGGAAAACGGCCGTTTGAACACCTGTGACAGTGCCAGATCCTAAGGACATGAGAGAAAAACCACAAAGTTGGACCAGAGAAAATAACTATTTCCTGAAGCTGGGATCTTTGGGGTCCCGTACAGATCACTCTGAAATCCATGTTGTTACTGACCTGAAACTACAAAGAAATGCTCCTCCCATTCTCCATTATTTTTGCACCCAGCCTAGGAAATAATCCACAGAGACTAACAAATCGTCTCTACCTACCAGCGCATTTGGAGCTACAGGAATTATTATTTCCAAATCACAGGCATTATTTCTCCACTCAATAGAGTGGATACCTTCAACAACTCCTCACTCCACCAGGCAGCTCATACACAATCCATGCTTTCACAGCTCTTCACACCAACTCCCATTCCAGCTCATTGCTGACCACTTCCTGGCTCTGTGCCTTGTCTCACTCAACTACTTACTCATCATTCCCTGATGTGCCCTGTGCTGTCCTCGTCCTCTTCTCTTCACCTGGAATGATCTACCTCACTCCTTCTCTCCTGGCAGCTTCCGGAAGCCCAATATACCCGGGCACTTCTCTTTCTGACCTTGTTTTGAGAAATCCCAGCCACCCCGCAGCAGACCCCTTGTCCTGTCCTCTGTGTGACTACGGGCTCTTTGGGGCATGCCCTGGGCTGCCATGTGGATTCTCTAGAAGTTGCCCTACCTTCCACATTTTCTTAGGATTATCTGTGAATGTGCTGTGTTTTTTTTTCCTCAAACCAATCAATTCTCTTAAAATACCTTTCTTTTCAAGATGACACAACAGATTGTGTGGATCCTTTCTTTAAGCTTTTGGAAATCTATTCTTCTGAAGGCCAGGCCCACGGTGGGGCAGAGACAGAACTGGTGCTAGAACAGCTGGTGGACTGACGTGAGCACCCCCCTGACTAGAAGCCACAGACAGTTCACAGACAATGGTTCCCGAGATCACACATACTGGGGAAACAAGGCATCTGCGCTCATACACCCCAGCTGGGAGAGTCGCAGTGCACATGAACATAAAGATCCTGTCCAAGTAGGTTCCATTTTGCTTAATCCCGTGCTTCTCAGACCTTTGTGAATAATGGAAACTTTTCCATGTAATATTAATAATATCAATAATACAGGTAACATTTACTGAATGCTTCCCCTAAGTAACCTTGATTACCCTTTTAAATTAAACACTTTAGTAGATTGATATTTGTAATTGTTTCTTTTTTAGGTTACCAATTTTACTGATAATAATCAAATAACTCAAAGGTAACATCAAATCTAACCTTGTTCACCTTCGTAAGTGCTCAGAGTAACATGAAAACTTATCAAAAGGAAAAAAACCCAAGCAAATAATTAAGATGTTTAGGTAAATGACTGATTGCTAAGAGGCTAAGCAATAAGGCTAATGCATTACATAGTGAAAACTGAATCAAACATATTAAGAATAATAACAGAAGTACACGCCATTGATTGTTTGCTCTCTTCTAATTCTTATAAAAGAAGCTACAATGCAAGGATCTTTTTCTTACACCAGAAACAATTAAAACTTCTTTGTAAAAGAATACTTAGATACTGTGTCATTCATTCCCATCTCTGGGCCTCCATAAATTTCTCAAATCATTAATACCAATACATGAAGAAAATGACTGCGCATTATTTTATGGAATACAACAAGGTCTGCTGGAGCATGGAAACACATGTAAAGGATTGCTCCCACTAAAAAAGAGCTGAATGTCAGACAAAGAAAATGTATTCCACTTTGAAAATAGCCATATGTACTTTTTCTCCCTTACCAAACAGAAAAATCAACTAATCATATAACTCATCATAACTCTCATTTCCATTAAAACCCACTTTAGATATTCAAAATGCACATACATGTATATGTATGTGTATAGCTATATGTGTACATATATAAATATATGTATCTATATACCTATAGATAAATTGTGTAGATTTTATGATTCTAGCCTTTAAATCATTTAAAAACAATTTAATCTCTCAGGGCTAAAACTGTTTCCCTCCACCTCAGGTCCATTTTTATTTCATTTTCATAGAATTTAAAAGTTAACATCAAATAAAGTTCTAACAACAATCTATAAATGAACTCAGCTTACTAGCTGAAACACTGCAAGCCACCCTTCAATGGCATGTCAAGGGAGAGCGGGACTCGCAGAAACGTTTCTGGCAATGCTACCCCGCCCCCCACCCTGCTCCCTCGGGGCCTCACTGGTGGAGGTGGTCTGCACGGACGCGTGCCGTTCACACTTCCATTCCCCTCTGCCGTTGCCCGTGCAGATGCACTGCAGCTGGTTCCCCCGATTGTCCTTCTTGCTCCAGGTGTCTCCGATCCTGTAGGACGTCCTCGTGTCCTGGTCGTTGCATCTGTCTGTGTTAGAAAGGAGGCATTTGAATACGTGCAAGTCAGGTCCAGCTTGGCACATGCTCAACTGAAACTTAAAATATACATACATATTTTAACACACACACAGTAGTTTAAAGCACAGTAAGTTATTTTTTATGTTACGTTTCCATTCAGCTGTGGTTCCACACATGTGAAACTTCCAGAAGATGGGATTACATTCGTTCCACCAAAAAGGGAGCTATCTGATTTAACCTAGTTCCACTTCTCTGTTTGCCAAAATACTTTGTCATCATCTTTCATTCATTAATGTTTTAGAGTTTCCCCAGTGTTCTTTTGGCCAGATTCATTCTCTGGTTTTCTACCGGCCTTGTCTTTCCTTCTCAGGCTCTCCCAGTAATTGCTGTACAGGGCCTGCCCTCCAGCAGAGGACTTTGTTTAGAAAACTGGAAACAGTACGGAGGCAAGTAGGATTCAAAAGGTCTTGGGGAGAGGCCCCAAAGGAGCTAGAAAGACTGCAGCATCTCTTTCTTCATCTGTTTGATAAAAAATTCAGGGGACACCAGCTTCTCTGACTAACATGTTCTCTTCTTTCCCCTGCACACCTATTTAAAATGACTAACAAAACGGCTTCCTGAACTGCTCAGTGCTAACTCTCCAAGTGGAAAAGTGGGACTATTATTGTAAAATGATCTATAACCAAATTACCATTAATCTATGTGTTCAATTGTCTGGCAAATAGATCGTTTCCATTATAATCTGGCTTTGCCCATGTGCTACAATGTGAGTATGGAGGGTTTGATTTGTTTGTGAGTCAGAAAAGGACTGCACCGGGTAAGAGAAAAATAATGGGACAGCTAACGCAAATGCACACAAATACACACCCACATTGATTTCCCACCAGAATAGAAGTCTAAAAGAAAGTATTACGGCTGGTTACAGCTTTTTCCCAAGTCCTCAGCGAAAAAGACTGTCTGCCTTTGAACCTCCTATTTTCTGTAGTCACCTTGAAGCCCTTACTATTGTACTTTGTAGAAGATGGCTATATAAGCCTTTCTCGTCTCCCTGACTTACTCACTAAGTGCTCTTTGAAAATTGGGCTCACATCCAATTCACTTTTGCATCCCTCCACCATCTCGTACAAAGTAGACTTTAAAAATTTCATAAAATAAGTGACTTTTCTTTGAGCAGCTGTTCCCAACTTGCTATTATAAGAGTTTTAAGTAATAGGTAAGAGTTTGAGTCAGACATCTCATTTGTCATAAGCTAAAAACATTACCACAAAGAAAAAAAAATTACCACCAAGGTCTTGGAAGTCTGATGTTCATAATAACATTGTAAATGCAAAAAAATCTAATGAACCATCAAGTTCCTGGGAAAGATCGGGTCAGAATCATTATTACTTTCCATGAGAGATTTATTTTTTTGTTAGCAAAGAATTCAAATCTGGATGATGCACATTTTAAGACGGTTAAACATTTTAAGCTACATAAATAAAAGAGGTTCAAAATATTTAGATTTGATTTTAAATATATTTATAACATGCATAGCTAATGGCTATGTTGCTTCTATAAACTCTGCAGTTGCTATTAGTTTGAACGTTCAGAAAAAGCCTTGAACCCCTATGGCAGCCAGCAAGGCCTTGAGGCAGTCTCACAAGGAGCAGAAAAGCTGGCAGCGGCCTGCTCCTCTTTAGCACTGCTGAGCTTACTGAGGACTTGGAGTAAGAGACACTGTCCTTAACCTCATAGTAGCCACATCATTTCAACCAGTGGCATAAACACTTTTTAATTCCATCATTCCTGCTTATGATTTCCATGTAGAACATACAAGGAAGCCTAAAGCCTTAGAACTGGGATCCACTTCATGCCAGCAGCACCCACGCGCCCAAAGGTGCATTTGCATGTTATTTCAATGGTCTCTTTGCTCATAATACTTTGAAAATGTCCCAGGAATAATTTAGATTGAACATTTGCAACTAATCTTCAGGTCCACAAACCCATTTGGCATTTAAATGAATATTAAGCTTCTTGCTTTGTAGCGGATAGTCTCAATGTTTATGGAACTAAGATTTTTTTTTTAATTTAGTCTTCTTTGAAGAAGCAGAATAAGTTTGTTATGGAATTTTTCTTGACATCCAAAAGCTACCAAAGCACGTTGGTGTATTGGGTGTGTTCTAAATGACATCGCATCACAATTCTCTCTAGGAATCCAGAAAAGAATACCTGGACTCATCTTAAGGTAAACATCTAAAACGTACTTCTAGAGGTACAGGTGATGCGCCCACTGCCTTCTCCCAGACAAGTGCAGTCCACCATCATCCAGCCTTGGTAGGGCTTTTCCCAGGTTTCCCCGACAACATAGGAGATCCCAGCAGCATGGTCAAAGCACTTCTCAGCTGCAGGAAAATGTGGACGCAAAAGAGGGGAAAAAAAGTTATTTCAAATTGTGCAGCCTCCCTGTAATTTAAAGTGCGTGTGTAAGCAAAAATCCAGCCACATTTTTTTTAAGTGGTACTCTGTTCAAAAAGAAAGGCATGCCCTGTAACTAAGCACATAGTAACCAAAGCGAAAGAAAGCTCAAGTTGAGTTGGCAGGCAGAAACTCTGTTCCCCTAATAAGTACATAAGTACATGGACTATGTATTTTCAGCCAGTACCATTCTTCTTCACACTGGCATTTTTAACCGAAAAGAATCTATGTATGTATCCAGTCTGGGGGAAACTAAATATGCGACATTTCAATTTAATTATGAATGACCAATTATGAATACCTGAAAAGTGACAAGAAAACCCTTAAAAATTGGGTTTCTATAAAAACAAACACAACACAAAGGAAACTAAAAGTCTCTGAATTACAGAACAATAACTAGATTAAAATAGATAAGAAAATTTCCAATTTGTATCTAGAGAATCAACTAAGGATTGAGATCAAAAGAAACTCAACAATTTTGGTAAAAAAAACAAACCTAAAGTTTGACAGAACACACACAATTTTATGCTTCAGGCTAGTGTGTTCCAATAAAAATGTCAAAAGTATCATTTTTTTCCTTTTAAATAACTTATATCTTGACCAAGGAAAACCTGATATTAGGTGTTAGACAAAAGAAATTACTTCCTCCTAAATCTTTCAGTTCTATCTTGTGCTTTTGAAACAAAAGTAAGACTTACATACAGGTGAGTACTTTTTGATTTGATTCTATAAAACTAAGGATTATAAAACATTTCATAATTTTTTAAAAGATCTTATTTATTTTTAAGAGAGGGGAAGGGAGGGATAAAGAGAGGGAGAGAAACATTGATGTGTGAGAGATACGCCTATCCATTGCCTCTCGCACGCCCCCAGCTGGGGACCTGGCCCACAACCCAGGCATGTGCCCTGACTGGGAATCGAACCAACGACCTTTTGGTTCACAGGCCAGCACTCAATCCACTGGGCCACACCAGCCAGGGCTAAAATATTTCATTATTTAAAATAAAATTCCAAGTTCACCATTTTTTAAAATTGCACTTCAGACCTCTTGTCCAAGTAGAGTTTGGTTCAACCCAACACTGCGTGCATCCCCACCCCTCCTTCATTGGTAGGAGCCACACACCTATGGGCTTGCAGGTCCATTCTCCTTTCCCGTTACCAAGACACACACACTCTAGCATGTAACCACCAGTCTCATGTGGCCTCCTCCAGGTGTCGCCGATCTTGTAGGACTGACCCCCTTCATGGCAGCGGTCTGTTCAAGATTAAAAAAATGTTAAAGAGAGTGGGACAGAAAACATTTAAGACAACAAAGAATAGGTCTCCTGTTCTACCCAGAGTGGGTACTAAGGTTAGCCAAAGTAAAGACACAGAGAACAGCTTTCCCATCAGAGACAGGGGAAAAGTTAACAGGTCTGGTCACTTGGGGTCATTCAATTAAATGTTTTGTTTAAACACAATGGGAAACCACAGAGAAAATTGAATGGCAAGGAAAGGGGTCATAAATCCTGGCTCCCCAGAGGGATCACAGGAAATTGGGTCCTGAGGCAGCAAAGAAAGGCTGGCAGGCAGGGCCTCGTCACTTACACAGCAGGTTGAGCCTGAGCCTAATTCAATGAAAAAGCCATATTGGGTATAGTATTTCAGCTTTTGGGAGTGGGAAGAGTCTGTATTTTAGCCTAGGTTAGAAATGTCATTTTGACAGAAAGCAAAGAGAGGTGTACTTATCAGATGTGAAAATCCAGGTACTTTTCTAGGCTGTTAAACACAGTAACACATCCAAAGGCTGAACTATCCACTAGATTGAAAAGACTATGGTCCACTGGCTCTTAGCATTTGCCAATAAATTGGGATAAACCCTAACATTAAGTATGGGAAAAGCAGTTGGGCCTATTCACAGGGGACTGACTGACCTGTTCTTTTGGACAGAAGTCTTTGAAGTGACTTATACTTAAAGGATGGATCAAAAAAACTAAATGCTATGTTAATAGAATCATTTGTAACAGTGAATCATACTGGAAAGAGCACCTCAGCTAAATACACCAAAATTGATGAAAAGCCACTCAGTCCCCAAAGTACCTTGGAAACACTGATAGGCTACCACATTATCCTTGGGAATAGAGAGATCCACTTCCTGGGTATAAACTATTGGTCACAAAGAAACCAGACTCTTTGTGTGGGGTGCAAGAGATCTCAGCATTATAAACAAGAGCAGCCCACACAACAGGAGGTTCACTCTTCACAGCCATCTTCCCAATCACTGCAGAGTAATCACATGATCAGTCTGGCTTGAAGATGTCCAGGTAATGTAAAATGGGCAACTGCCTTAAACACGTCTCACTGGAGTGGAACCCAGGAGAACCACTTGGTTACACTATGTACACACACACTTAAACACACACACACTTAAACACACACAGACTAAACATTAGTTCTACCTGTGCTCAGAGAAATCTTTCAGAAGCACAGGAACCAGCTGGGTGACCACATAAGAGTACCTGGTCACCTAGGGTGAGTAAATCCCCAAATTAAAACTATCCAGTCATCGATAACAGAATATGACAGTGAGACAGTAATGGAGAAATTCTTATTTATGATATTGGAGCATCATTTTACAGAATGTCTTTCTTACTTGCAATGGTACAGCTTATTCTTCTTCGCCCAGCCCCGATGCAGGTACAGTCCCAGATCATGGAGTCCTTAGGGCGCTCGTAAGTGTCCCCTACCCGGTAAGTGTTCCCAGTGTACTTGTCAAAGCAAGTCTCTTCGGCTGAGGGGAGAAGGAGAGTCCACGTGAGCCTCACACATGTAAACGCTTGCCCATTGTACTAATCACATGCAAAGGAGAACTCACTTTTCAATTTTATGAGCAACACAATACAAGAAAAAGTTTTTAAAAAGTTAGGTGGGAGACCTAGATTGTACCTTAGGCTCTAATAAAACTTTGACAAGTTCCCTAACTTTCTGTACACTAATTTCCATTGTGAACGAGTCTCAGGCCCTAGGAGAAAGCCATATGAAGCACTACCTTAGGACTGGCTAGACGGTGAAGGAAGGACTTCAGATTCAGATCTATGACTCAGAAAGTCAAACTAAGGTCCACATAAAAAGCAAAGAATTTGGAGAGCTCCACCCCCACCAGGCACAGTCACTTGTTAATCGTATTATTTCCATTTTAGCCTCATCCCTGCTTCTTCTCTGTGCAAGTTGCCATAATATACAGGAAACATATCAATGGTCATAGAAAACAAAAACTTTGAAGTGGTTAATGGTTTTGTGTAAAAAAAAAATCACTTTACAATATAATGCCCATAGCGTTTTCTGGCCCATAATCTTATAATTTTAGATTTAAAAATACTTTCTAATAAATTAAAACCTTATAAGTAAGTATTTTGAAAGGAGAATATGCAAAATCTTTGATTTTCTTATCAAAACCTTCAAGAGAGTAACACAAAAAAAAGACTCTAGGAACGACTTGGAAGTACATTTGTTCTTTTGCTTTAAAGGTAAAGGTAACACGTGAAAAGCAAAATTAGCAGTTATTAAGTGTTTTCAAGAGAAAATGATGGGTCCATTGAAAACATGGTGTATGTACTTTTGCTAAGTTTAATTAACAGGCATCACTTCACCACTTACTACAAGACACTAACTACCCAGGCTTCCCACCACTTACGTTCAGGTTTACTCTCGCAGTTAAAGCCTCGGCTCCCTCCATAACAGGTACAAACCAAGGTATTGCCCAGGTATGTGCGTTCCCATTGTTGGTTTATCTGATAGTGATTCCCATTGTCAAAACAACCAGCTGTAAATAATTGAACAAAAAGTTATTACATTTGCACCCCTGCTCTTTTTCCAGATCATGGAATTTCCTTGCACAACTAAATTGACAAGCCTAAGCAACAGACATAGAAAAAATAAGTTAATCTCCAGAACATGAGGAGAATTAAAAGCAATATTCCACTAAAATATAAAACTAGTTATTTAAAGAGTTAACCACAATTGGTACACGTAGATATTTAGGTATTCCTTTTTTCCCTTTTTTTAGACTTAGCTAAATGTTATACAATGATGTCATTTCCATCTGGCCAGGGGTCTACATCAAAGACATGGAAACATTCTGAAAAGCAGATAACTGCAATTGCATTTTTAAATATGCAAGAAACTTCTATGCTTTTCTTGGGTAGCAAGAGGGCAACTTTAAGTGCTTTCCTCCAGCCAAGGCAAAGGGAGGGTGTGTCTTTGGAAAACTGGAATAGGAATTCCAATCTGATCTCCGTTCTTCCAGAAGGGTCCTGAGGGGCCCTGCGGCAATGTAACTGAACTAAATTAACTCTCTTTCAAAGTTAGGAGCAACATGGCTCTGTAGCTACCTTCCTCCCACCCCGTTTTGAAAATATTGAACAAGCTATTTAGTAACAGAGGAAGTTAGAAAGACCACAGTAAACCCAAATGAAAATTTAAAGGCGTGAATTATTTTTCTCTTTAAAGAAAAGCTTTGATGAATTCACAGGAAGACGACCTGAACGTGTGGAGTTGATAAGAGCACAGCAGAACAGCGCAGAGCCCCTGTCCTCCCGACTATTCTCTTATCCTAGGCCCTCAGAACCAGTCTGCTCAAACGAATGCCTTTTGTGTCCACAGCCGGTTCCTCTCCTTAAGGCGTGCACAGCCTCCACGCGCGCGCGCGCGCAAAACTTCAGCCACAACTTTAGTTGGCTTTACGGTCCCATCCCTGCGACAGCCAGCCAGTTTCAGCCCGCAGTCAATACTCACGCTTGTTTTGGCTGACAGGCACCGGGGACTGGGGCTGAATGATTTGCTGAGCCTGTCTCTTGCCCCTCCAGGCGGACACCTCTGTCCCCAGGGACAAGACGACCAGCAGCAGCTGGAGCCCGAGCCCCGGACCCCTGAACATCTTGAGGCGGTGCGGGCAGGGACGCCCTCACCAGGAGGCAAGTTGCCACCTAGTTCTCTTCGAAACCTGCGGGAGGACTCCTTCCCAGTGCGTCCTGGGGGACTGACGCCTTAAAGAAGGTAGGGGCCAGAGGATGGAGAAGGGGACGGGTAGGGGGACAGAGGGGAAGGAGAGGACCGGCGAGAAGTTGTGGCTGCAGGTCCCGGCTCGCGCCTAGAACTCCCTTCCCTCCCCTGGACAGCGCAGCTGGCGCGGGCGGCCGAGCCCGGACTGCCGGGGTTTATATGGGACTGTCCCCTCCCGCCCCCTGCGAGGCCCACGGAGCCCGGGAGGAGAGCCCCTCCCCACCGCCCCTCCCCTCCTGCGGCCGCCGCCGACCGCGCGCCGATTGGCCGGGGCTCCCAGTGACGTCAGGGGGCCTGTGGGTTCGCCGCGAACAAAAGAGATGCTGATCCCCCGCCAGGATTGGGGCTGGAGAACTTTTTTCGGTTTCCTTTGCGGTCGTCCAACTTTTGGGGGGAATGGGTGGGGGGAGGGATGGGAAGCGAGTGGAAAAGGGTAGACGGGGAAGAAAGGGAGGGGCTGGAGCTACGTGATGCAAAGGGGTTGCAAATCCCCCTCCCCGCCGCTTCCTTTCCTTTTTCTTTTTAGGGTAGGGGTAGGACATTTCGTCATCTCCGAAAAAAAAAAAAATCTGTGCTCACTGGAGTGTATTTTGGGGGGAGGACAAAACCGTAAAGCAGCCACCACCTTGCAGCTGCAGGAATGTAGACTTCGCAGTCCCAGGGCGGGGCTGGTTCCCGTCCTGTTCCCTTTCCCTAGTCTAACGCTCATTGATTTGGGACTCACTTTAGTGTGCCTTCGTGGCTTAGCTTCCTGTGCAAGACTTCTCCTGCTCGCAAACGCTGTACCTGCCCGGTTCTGAGGAGGTGCTGGCTGGGGAGCGGAGGGGAAAATTCATCCTTTAATGAGCTTCAGCTAAGTACCAGGAGTTCTGCGGGGCGCTCGGCGGACCTGGGGGAAATTCAGAGAACGAGGTTCCTTTTGAGAGGACAAAGCAGCAGTTTGTTTTAAAGGGGAAAAAAAAAGTGTATAGTATCTTCCTTTCCTGGGGATGGGATATCATCTCTTTCCACTGAAAGTGGAATTAGTGAAAACCGGGAAGCTGGACCGACTATGGAGAGAAAGACCTTCCTGCCTTTGCTCGTGTTCTCCGTGCCCGTTACACACAAAGCAGAGACCTTGTTTGAATCACTGAAAACCAAGAAAAGACCATGTCCAGTCTTGACTTCCTACAGTCCCTCCCTTGCTATTATTTGGCATTTTCTTTTTGTAGACATCAGTTTAGTCACAGAATTCCCCTCCCCCAACCCTGCCGCCAGATTTTTTTGCCTTTAAATTATCTACTCCAAGAATGTGGCAAGTTCCCATTTAAGATTTCTCCTGCTTTCTCTCAACTCAGAGTGTGGATACGGAATCTGAGAAGCTTCTAGCGTTTAGCAACTCATCCAATCAGTCTTTTTTCAGACAGACACAAGTCACACTTGCTTTGCAAGTTCTTCAGCAGGAGTCCACCACCTTCTTCAGTGAACCCTGAGACCCAAACCTAAAGCTTTGCCTTCTAGTTACGCTAGTAGTGCAGACTTCCCGTTTGCTTCAAAAACCTACGAAAGCTACTAGCAATATGTTTATTTCTGCAGGTACTTGTTTTCTCCAGAAGTTCCACCTTCAGTAACTGCCATGGGGGTAATTCCAACTGTATGGCCTATGAAATGCCTAACACATAAAAGACACAAGGCTAAGATTTGTTTTAATTAATGCAGGGAAATTTTTTAAAAACAGCAAATAACCAATTTCCTACAAGTAGAATAAAACAACTCCTTAAGTTTTTGTGACCAACATTGCAAGTTGACAGAGTGCCACAGATTTCCCCAAATTTAGAGTCCTAAGTTAGAGGGTTTTTAAAAAAAAAATTTCATCATCACTCGACAGAACAGTTTTCTCTTTCAAATATGAAAGAAATTCTTGTAAATTCTTAATACATTTCTGGGAAGACGGTGTTCCTTCCAGACGTGAGGATACCTGGAAATCGGGGTGTAAGCAAGACAGACCTGAAGCTGAAGCATTCTTAACACACAGATTCCAGAGGAAGGAAATCAGTGGTTAGAAAAGTATGTAGTCAACCAAAAATATGAAAATGTGATATTTTCATATTTGACTGTACTCAAAATATATTAGAATAATATACACAAGAGAACTTTGAAGAAAACCACCCACCTTAAATCTCAGAAGAAATTTTTACATTTCAGTCCTATTGAAATATAATTTGTTTAAGGAAATGGTATATCTCTAATGTCTCCTAAGCAAAAACTTAGTGATATTTAACTGAATTTTATAGGAATGCTTGAAGTTTACTCTTAAAAGTTTTTTTTTTTTAACTTTGGACATAGAGATATTTTCTTAGATAAGATAACAAGGCTCGAGACAGTATTCTTTCATTATCAAAATCCCTGTAACTATGTCTCTTATCTCTAACTGGAGAGATAATTAAATCTAAAAGATCACACTGACTTTGTTCTAACTCAGCAGACATGCCTAGTGTCCAAGATTCCCTTGCATTCCCTTGAAAATCTTTTAAGGCTATTGACACAGTAGGTTCTTCAGTAAATCGTATGCTTCTGCTTGTATGAAATAGCCTTAGATTTCTTTTTCTTATCTCAAATGGACAGGGAAATGTAAGCGAGCAGACAATAGATGCATAGACGCCTGGGACTGGGGCTGAGAACAGGAATTAGTCATTGCAAATGGGCACCAGGAACCTTACAGAGGTGATGGAAATAAACACTCTAAAACTAGATTGTGCTGGTGGCTGCACAACTTGCTAGAGTTACGAAAAATTGTGAAGTTGCACACCTAAAGTGGGTGAATTTTATGATAGGTAAATTATACCTCAATAAAGTTGTTTTTAAATAATTAATTAAAAGTGTTTTTTACAATTCTTTTCTACTTATACCGTGTCCTGAATCTGTGTCAAGGACCCACTCCCAGGTGGCAGCAGCACATACAAGGTGTCCCAATTTCTTCATTTTTCTAAGAGTTTGCCTTTCAAACAGTAGTGGATTGTTTCTTCTGCACCAGTAACTCCTTACGAAACCTAGTATTTGTGCGATGGCATGTATGTGGTAGAGACAGAGCAAATGTTCATTTAGGGCTGTGTGTTGTTTCTTCTTCAAATTGCCATGGTGATAGAATTTTTCCAGAACTTAAGTCAACTTCAATTTTCAGCAACAAAAAAAGAGCACATATATCTGTGGGTGGTGGGGGAGTGGTATTTGGACGTCTCATTATTGGAGGAAGTTAGTGAGGAGCATGAGCAATTATGGAAGTCCAAATTGCATTGACTCCATCTGAGTTGGAGACTGTGGTTAAGCACAAAAAGAATTTATCAGACCTAGCCATTTTTAAAGGATTGGAATTAAAACAATTTAAGGGATAAGTTTCAAAGGGCAATTATTTCCATGTAAAAAAGTGGGTTTCTTTTTAGAAGAAACACATTACAGATAATACTCGCAGCCAAATTTCTTGCCTAGTGATAGCGAAGGAAAAAAAAATCTTATCCCTGATAAGAAATATCTTCCTGAAAAGTAGGTTATATTTAGAAGCAGGTAGGCTGGTTTTTCCGGAAAACCTTTGTTTTGTTTTGTTTTGTTTTTATCTTGTGTTTAATCTCTTTTAGTCCTATTAGAGAGGCCAGTGACTAGGTGACCTTTGGAATTCTCTGACCTAAGAAACTGGAGTATTTTTTTTTCTGATTCCTGGTCACCTATAGGTAAGTTGAATGGAGATAAATTACAGTAGTTTTGTTTCTTACCATCTTCCTCCCCTAAACACAGCCAAGCTTGCAAAACTGATGCTCCTTAAGTGCAGGTGTGAGAGTGAACAGTAAATACCTCATGGGCAGCCCCCATGGTCCAGCACTTCGTCTGGACCACACAGGGAACCTGCCACCCAGAGAAAATACTTGAGAAGGGCTTTAAACTATGCTTTGAAAGCCAACCAGTTTTCACTTACTAAGCACTTTGTTTATGTTTTAAATGACTTTATTATTTAATCAGCACTTTAAAAAAAGCCTTAATCTATGCTCTTTGTTTCTTAGCAGGGGGTCTCTTTTCTCATTAAAGGGATAGTGAATCCCAAAAGATTTTGCAAAGGAGTCTAATTCATCCAGTGAAATGGAACTAACTACTGTGTAACTGGAACACTTAACCAAAACGGAGTTATAGAACATTTTAGCTTTCCAAGATTGGTATTGGTTTGGGAGAGGGGGAGGAATTTAATTTTTGAGTGCTGTTGCTTCTTTTTCCAGTTTTGCTTTATTTTATGTTACTGGACTTAAAGATTTGTTCTGATAGGCTAAAATTTTTTTAAAAAACTTAAAAGATGTCCTTCTATATTTAAATTATTTTCTATCCTTTTAACATAATTTCAGTATTTTCCTGTGCAGCTAATCATGAAGGTTATGTCAGATGCTTTAAAATTGCCATAAATGTGATCTATTAGGTAAATTTTTTGCCTTTTCATAAATAAATTTTTATGCTGACAATAGACTATTGTGATATAGGTGGTCAGTGGACACTTCTTTCTACTCTTTCTATTGATTAATTAGTTATAGTAAATCAAAGACAAGTTCACCTGAATTATAAGATTAAAATATAAATTTAACTGTCATTAAATTAATGCTAAATCATTTTTTCAATAAAATTGACACATTCTCTCATTAACTATGAAAATTTTACCGAGATAGAATGGACATTTGAAATCATTTCATCTTAAACATCAAATACTAAGGTAGGCTGAAGTGTGGGGACAAGGTCATAAAGATTTCAATAACTAAGAAAAATACATTTAAATAGCCAGATTTTATTAAGTGCTTACTCTGAGCCAGACCTGGTGTTAAGTGCTTGATGTGCTTTTTGTTTCTTTTAATTCATCCATCGGCAGCCCTCCGAGGTAAGTGCTATCATTTCCTCGCTCTTACAGATGAGGGTACAAAGCTTACAAAAGTAACTGGAATGAAGTTTCCTGCACCACCAACTTTACGGAAATTGTGATATCACTGAATGATCTCCCTCTGGAACAAGAGTAGGGGCAAAGCAGTTGGCTAAAGGACCTTGTGGGTGACTTCTTGGACATTGGCACATTAATTCAGATGTCACACAGAATCTTACTAACTGATAACGCTCCCGTTTTCACCT